CACCTGGTGAGCTTGACAGAGGAATGCAGACAGCAACCTCACCTTCTTGTATTCAAATCCCATCCAAAGGGCCCTCAGCATCATAGTTCCCGGGCTCCCCTAGAGGCAAGGGCCTGGGGGAGACTGTTCCACCTCAGAAAGTACCCGTGGAGGCAAAAACCTTGAGTTCAAGCTACCCCCGGATTCTGTCCTTCTGATGAGAACTATCAGCAAAAATTCAGAGAAAGGCAGCTCTAAAACTATGGCCCTGGGACCCCAGCATTCTATGTTTAAAAATGTGCCTCCCGGAAATAACAGGTGATTTGTGCAAAGAGGTTTCTGGCAAGGTGATTAAGAGCAGAGGTGGGCACTCTGCCTCCAATGCTGATTGGATAGGACTCTGCCCTTCAGAGTTCTCTCCCATTTGGCAGGGTTCACTGCTGTGAGAGTGTCCCCCAGTCGTGAGCTCTTCCCACTACCTGTGCCCGTGAGACAAGAGGACCAGGAAAATGATCATCCCCATTTCTCACAAGAAGAAACTAAGGCCAAGGTTATATACAGCTTATTGAAATCCAGGGCCCAAACTCCACCCCTTCTGACCCTTAATCTAGTGGTCTTTTCACCAACCCAGGCCACATTTATGAACAAATTAGCAATTAAAAAGGACAGGCACGTGTGCCCTGGGAATGTACCCATGAACGAACACTAAGGAGATCAATCAGACCAGGAGAGGGGCGACAGGGCAGGGATCCGCATGTAAAAAACCCTGCAGATGAAACTCCTAAATGCTGAGAAATGATTGGACCTCGTCCCACTGGGGGCCCCTTTTCTTCCAGGCTCTTCTGTGAAAACCACTTTAAGGAGGAGAAAACCATAATTACTACTTGGGATGACAGGACACTTAAGGGACGTGTCCAAGTGCTGAGGGTGGGCTCATGCAGCCAGAAAAAGCAAATTCAATGTCATAATTCCATATTTGGGAAACTAGAATTAAGTACCCGTTGTTTTTGTAATTCAGACCGCAGCAAGAGAAGCCCGGCATAACCTCCGTGGCTGGGAAAGACCCATCAGAGCCCAGTGAATTCTTAAGCAGGGAAAGCTCCCACTGCCAGCAGGGGAGCGGGTATTTGAAGGATACCCAGGGCCTGAGACTGGAGAGGTTTGGAGGTTTAAATAGGTTAAGAAATTCTGGAAATTAAATGCCCTTTAAAGCTCTTTGAATTCTGCCAGTCTGTGTAAAATTCTCTTGATGATTATCGATTGTGAGAAGAGAATTTCCAGTTTGAGGTGAAGTCAGAATTTCATGCTCATTTTAAGAACCCCCTTTGCCCCCCACACCCGGCCACCACACAAACACAAAGGGCTGGAGATGGCAAACTTTAGGCTGATTTGTTAACCTTGGTTCAAGCTGCAGAACTGTAACAACAGCCTCAGACCATAGTCAACATCCCTCCCTGCTGCTCCAGCACCTGTACATTTAGGAAGGGTTTGATATCATCTTGGCTGAGTAGTTCAGTTCGTTGGAACATTGTCCAAATACCACAAGGTTGTTGGTTCGATCCCCAGTCAGGGCACATACAAGAATCAACTAATGAATGCCTAAATAACTGGAACAACAAATTAATGTTTCTCTCTCACTCTCTGTTGACCTTGCCTACTCGCTTCTTCCTTTACTTATTAGGACTCAGCATAACTGTTACTAATAATTTTTTCTAAAATGTTTTAACATTCAGATCGCCCCTGGAGTATAAACTGCGTGAGGGTGGGTACTGGGTCTTTCTCACACATGACAGTGCAGTGCCTGGCACCTGGCAGATCTCGGTGAACGTGTGCTGAGTGGGTACACGTGTCCTTCCCTGCCCTGGCCCTCCCTGTTGGGCGGATCATCCATGCCTCAAGCTTTGAGAGCAGGCGGCAAACATTCAAAGCTGATGCTCCAGACAAATGTCTAGGTCACGGCCCGTGGCCCTGACTCTGGCGCTTACTCCTTGTCCTTTGCCCTCTTTCACAGGTGCCCCGGGCCCTTTGACTCCGCCCCCCACCTTGGTCCCTTTCAGGTCACAGCACTGTCCAGGCTCTGCTGTCCCCATGGCAGCTGACGTGCCTTTTCTACCCCCGGCCTTTTCTCCACTGCCCGTGAAGAAGGACGGGACACAAAAATAAAGAACTATTCAGTAGGCTGAATGGCAGACTAGACACACAGAGGAAAAGATAAATGAATCTGAAGACAGAAAGTGAAAAGAATGGAACAGAGCATCCGACAACTGAGACAGTATCAAATGGTCCAATATACACGCAACTGGAACCTCATCAGCCTGGTCTGATGAGATTGGATTTCCCATCCTCTTGTTCTGCAGCTACATTACTTGTATTTTCTCCTTTCTTTGTAAGAACAGTAACAGGGATGCGGGAGAGAGGAAAGAGGGAAATGGCTATTGGCTGAAGCGTGAGTTCTCGGAGACAATTCTGGGACTGAGTCCTCTTTAATCACCTGCTATGCGTGACCTTGGACAGGTTGCACACCCTCTCTGTACCTCAATTTTCCCATCTGTACCCAAGGATTAAAACAAGGTAATACAAGGAAAGAACCCAACAGAAACCCCTGGCTTTGGTAAGTACTCGGTAGTTGCTTTTATTCTCATTACAAATCACTGTGGTCTCACCATTTTCACTTACGCGCATTCCCTTCCAGATTTGGTCTGTAAGCTAAATCTTTCTTTAATATTTTCACAATCATGTTGCAACACAATCACGTTTTCTGCTTTCAAACTTAAAAAGAATTATTCTCGAATATTTAGTTTCCCATGTGGTGGGAAACTAAGGGTGTCCTCAAGGCTGGTAAGTCTTCACTGACATCATTTAAAGGGGCGCTTCACAACACCCCCTGCATTTTTGGTGGATTTATTTTTATTTTTGTTTCCCTCACTGTGTTATTTACCCCACACGCCTTGTGTAACAGGGGCAGGCAGCTTCTTCACAATGCACGTGCTCTTCCAGACTGCGCCTGCCTGTCTAAGTGGGCCACTCAGACAGGATCTGCATCCGGGCTCTGCCGCTAGCTTGCCATGGGCTGTGGGCAAGTTACTCCCTGTGCTCCTGGCTCCCTTCTGTAAACAATGACGGGCTCTGTCCACCCACTCGGAGAGGCACAGAAGCACTGTTCAAACAAACACGGTCACCATCACTGCTGCTCATGGACCAGAAACAAAGACGAGTCTTAAGCTCTCTCAGAGGCACAAGGTCTTAAAAGCTTCCTGGGAAATGCCTGCCATGGTCATGTTCTCTGCCAGGGAACAGAGGAGGCACTTGGCACGCTCCTGCTTAGCAACGGTAGTAGGGGTGGTGGGCCCCAGTGAGCCAGTGGGCAGGGTTCCAGGCCCCCACTCCACTTTACTTGTGGCGCTTCTGCCATCGTCCATCTAAAACCTTGGGGCCTCCTCAGAGGATTTAATGGGCACTGAGAGGAAACCATGCATCTGGTCCAACACACCCACTAGGCAGATGGGAAAACTGAGACTCCCAGAGGGGAAGGGCTGTGCCCACCAGCACCATCCTAGATGGCCCCGGAGCTGTTTTCAAAGCATCCCTGAAAGGGTGTCCTCAAGGTCTGAAACAAGCAAGGACGCCGTTCCTCAGGGAGACTTAATCTGACCTGGCATGACATTTCAGGAAATTTAAAAAAATCACTTGTCTTCTCAAGTCCTTTAGACCAGAAAGCTGTGAGGCCTGAACACAAGCCTGGGTGGTCAGGAGGTACAGATGACACAGTGAAAGTGAGAGAGGCCATATGACCAGTAACAGGTATGACAAGTAAAGCCCAGGAGCTCCACCAGCCCGCCTCCCTTCGCCGCAGGGACGAGAGCTGCGTCTGAGGAGCTCAGTGACAGAGGAGAGTGGCCTCTGCCCCTGCCTTGGCAAATGCCTACGGGAGGAAAGAGAGTCTTCCTGCTGCCTGTCAGGATGGCTGACCCCGGGCCTGATCTCAGCTAATCCGGCAGCGCGAGCAGAGGACATCACCCCCATATCTGCTCCGCATCTCCAATGCGCCAGGAGAACCGGCTTCACACAGAAGAATTGCTATTGATTTTCACTTGTGCGGGCTGACCTAAAAAAACCAATTCATCACGGGCCTGTCTGCCTCGCCGCTTCAGACGCCCATCCTAACTACATGCAAAGAAATTATGCTAACCACTAAAGTGATTTGTCAAGGTCCAGCTGGGCAGGGGCCCTGGCTTCCCACTGATGGACTGCAGGCTGGGCTGGGCTAGGATCACCCAGCAAATGCCCCACTGTTGACCCTCCATTGTTCAGCAACGCTCTGGGGGGCCCAGGAATCGGGACGCCTGGCAGCTGCTGCCGCACCAAGAGCCAGTTGGCCCTGCCTGGGAGGGGACCGAGGGACTAGGCCCAAGTCTCACTCACTCTAACAGGGCTTGGCAGTAACATCCTCACTTGTTTCTTCTGCTCTCCGACCCCTCGATTCTGCAGGATGTGAGTGTTCATGCAACCAGGCGGCGCTGAGTTCTGGTGATGGCTCTGCCGCTGGCCAACTGTCCTCAGGCCTGCTGAGACGGGGGTGACACTGCCCACGGGGGTCTAGGGCCCAATAAAGGCCAGGGGTCAGACTGAGTGCCCCTCCCTGCTCCCCCACTTCCTAGCTGGGGCCTGGGCAGGCACCTTCAGCTCTCGGTGCCTCGCCTGCCTCATCGGTACTCTGGGGCTGACAGCAGTGCCCACGTCCTCAGGTGGAGGTGGCGGTGACTAAATGAGATGACAGACCTCACAACCTGAGTCCTTCCTTCCACAAGCAGAGACTGGAGGTTCAGAGAAGGGAGTGCTGTTCTCAGGGACACACAGAAAGGCGGAGCCGCGTCAGGAGGGGTCGCAATGAGAGGCAGGCACAAAATGTTCGTGAGAAGAACACGGCAACATCTGGCTCTCTTCCTTTCCAGACAGTGGCTGTCACCGAAGAACGGACGGGACAGTGGGAAACGGGTCAAGGGCACATCATGGGCGATTGCTTAAAAGGGTTAAACACTTTATGTGCAGGCCTTTTATTGTTTTTGTTTTTGAATATACAGGTTTCCTGGCGTCCAGGGAAAAAGGGGAGTGGTGTCTTCCTGCACAAGGTCTGGGGGGCTTGCCTTGGGGCTCTGTCCCCATCCCTTTCCCTGCTCGCTGGCCCCATGGATTCCTCTGCTGTGGGATAAGGCACTGTGTGTTCTGACAAAGGTGCTCACACTTGGCAGGTGGACAACCAGGCGGCCTTCTCAGGGACTGCAAAGCTGAGGCTGTCGAGGGGTCGAGTTGAACTTGGGGTCCTGGTGAGGAGGCCTCGGGCTACAGAAATTGCAGCCTGGTGGGCTTGGCACCGCTGCCTCCCATCTGGCCCTGACGTGGCGGCTTCAGGATGGAATCATGCCTTTATTTCTTTTGCGGTCGGCCATGGTCCTCCGGTTGTGGTTGGCTCGTGTGGACTTGTTAGCTTCCTTCTTCCTGCGTTCCTGCGTTGTCTCACGGCTCTGCCCGTGGCCCCGGGGGCTGCCGGCCACTGCTGTCGAGCTGTCATGCCGGTACCTGAGGGTGGAACAACCCATCCCCAGGAGAACCCATCAGCTAGAACAGGCTCTCACAGGAAAAGCCCACAGCCTTCCCGGAGGATCCCTGGGAGAGGACACACAGCTTGGGCCAGGACACCCGACTTCTAACTTCCAGTGGGACGAGAAATGAAGCCTGGCAGGGGCAGGGGCCATAGGGGCTCCGGGCCACCCTGTGCCTGGCAGTTTCTCTTCTCCGAGCCTTGCCTGCAGATGGGACCCTGGCTAAGCATGAGGAAGGACCAGCTAGGGGGCTGACTGCAGCCCACACAGGGAGAGGGAGAAGGCTTGGGGGTGGGTCCTCTCCCTTTTCCATCCTGGGCCTGGTGCTGTAGATGAGATAATACTGTTCTACATCCCAGGGCCTTGCTTGGTGGCCTTCAAAGACCAAGTGCACCCACAGACAAGACTTAAGGACCCTTTTGGACCATCTCATCTGCTGGCTTTACCCAGAGCTCTGTGCTCAGGGGGTTGGGATGGAAGAGAAGTCAAAGTTGCTCTGTTTCCTGCTCAAAAACCTCCTGTGGCTCTCTCTTCTTGCCTTCAGAATGAGATTCAGTGCCTTCCCTCCGTGGTGAGGCCTCCTGCACTGAGTGGGCAGTGCTGTGGGAGTCCCAGGGCCAGGACGGGGCACTGGGTTTCCACCCCTGGCTTGGCCTTCAGTGGAGGAGGGACCACAGGCAGGTCCTTGGCCCTTCTGGACTGTTTCCTCACTGGAAAGACTAGGGGACTGAATTAGAGGTGCCTCTGGTTATGCGTTCCCAGCTTCCCCTTCTCCAAAGGACACCTCTCTGACTGCACATGTGCTTTCTTGCCTTTCTGCCCTCACATGAGGAACTACTTTGCACCCTTCCCACCTTCAGGGCCCTGCCCAGGTGCCCTATCCCTACCATGCCTCTCTCAGACATAAAGGTTGTACGTCTGTCTGTCTGCCTGCCTGTCTGGGCTCTTTCACACTTTACACTCTGCCAGACACCAGCTAGCTCTGGACACACTGGGCTCGCACACTAGGTGATAAACTCCTTGTGTCTGTCAAGTAATGGTTAGCAGTGTGGACCCCCAGAGCTGGGCCACCTGGGTTCAGTCTCTGCTCCACCATCTACTAGTTGGGTAACCTTTGGCAGGTTACTTAACATCTCTGGGCCTCAGTTTCCTCATCTGTAAAATGAGGATAATGATAACAGTAGCTACTTCATAGGGTTGTTATGAGGTTAATTGATATATATATAAAACACTTAGGGTTCTGTGTGGATTTCCTGGGTATGTGGCTGGGACGTCCCCAGAAGGATTCCCTCCCACCAGAAACAGCTCCCTTCAATCTTACCCCTTCCTGGCGAGGAAGGCCATGCGCCTGGCTTCTGCTTTCTCCCGCAGCACCGCAGGGTCCTGCACAAAGTGGTCGGGCTGTGGAGGGAAGAGGGGAAAGACTCACGAGCCGCCCCACACCCCTAAGCTGCGGCGAGGCTGCGCCTGACTGAATCTGGTCGATGCCTCCCAGGGGTCAGGAGAAGCCGCAGCACGGCAGGGCACTGCCCCAGAATGGCAGTGGGTTTGCTGTGGTCCAAGGTTTCTACTAGAAGGCTCCTCCTCTGTCCCTTCCACCAGTTCCCCAAGGGGGAGGCAGCACAAGGGACTGGGTCTTCCTGGACAGGTGTCACAGGTGGGTGGCCATAGCTGGGGCATAAGAACGATAAATGGGAGCAATGAAGGGAAGGCCAGGATGGCCACCATGAGAGGCCACGTGAGGCCTTGAAAGCCAAGAGAGCGGCCCCTGGAAGCTGACTTGTTCTCACGCTGGCAATGCCACCACCCCTGTGCTGTGGGAACGCCCACTCTTGAGGACCATTTTCTGCGCCAAGGGTGAAAGGGACCTGGACTAGGAAGAATAAAAGGAATAACCTAATGACCACAGACCACAGACCATGGTGGCCCATGCTATTTAAAAAAACACAAACAAACAAGCAGAATGAGTGAGCTTTGAAAACCGGAAGACTTTACATAAAAGGCGGCCTCATCGCCTGGAAGAGGGGAAAGCCCCGGAAGTGCTGTCCGGCTCTTGCCCTGAGGGCCTCCCCTACCCGCCCCCCCACCCCCAACAGGGTGTGAGTGCTGTCCCAGTACCAGACTCAGGTTCCGCCAGGACACATTTGAATTTGTCACCCTGGTGGGAGGGGGCCACCTAGGGACCCAAGGATCATAGGCTGCTACTCTGTTCAGCCTGAGCAGGACCACTTTTAATTGTTTTTTTTTTTTTTTAAGTGTTGAGATTCTAGTTAAGATTTTATTTGAAAAAACATTCAGCCTCTAAAAAATGACATTTTCAAACCTACCAGCTCAAATGGCCTCCAAAGGCCCTTGGGCTCTGACACCTCTCTGATTTTAAAATTGCCATCCTGGGCACGGAGGCAGACAGCTGCCCTCCTCCCGGCTCCCAAGCTCCTGGGCCTAATGAACCCAGCAGCCTCTGATCCAGTCCCTGGGCCCTCCCTGGGCAGCGGAGGTGAGTTCTAAGCCAGCAGCTCTCCCAGCAGACATGTGGGCTTGAAGGCTCCCCTCTCCTCTCGGTAGTGGTGCTGGGGCTGCCTCGAGGCCAACAGGGAAGGGGGACACAATGTTCTCCATTTGCCCTTTAGAACTGCACGCTCCCTCCCTTCGTCTGCCAGCTGCCAAGCAGGTACCTTGGGGGCCTCCTCTTCAGCTTCATCCTCCTCCTCGTCATCCTCCTCTTGCCCTTCTCCGGGCACTTTGGTTCTTAGCACTTGAGGGATGGTGAAGGGCCTAAGGGTTTAGAGGGAAAGTAAGATCAAAGATAATATTAAACTCAGAGAGCCTCAGGGAAGAGGTAATGAGGCTGGGTGAGGGGGCTGATGGGAGAGGTTCAGGAGGCCAGGAAAAACCAAAGTACTTTTCAAGACAGCTTTGCTGCAGCCCCTGAATTTTTGAGGGTACCAGAGTCTGATGTGCGAGCTTAGGGGAGACTGAGCTGCGGCTGTGAGGGCTCTCTAGCTCTGTTTTTATCTGTATTGGGTAATCTCCATATGATTCCACTGGCAAAAGTTTTCTGCAATTAAGAACAATGTACCCAATTAATGAGTTCCTACTGAGGGTGGGTCGGACCAACCAGCCAAGGGGGTGACTTGGGTTGGAAAGAGCAATGGACTAGGAGTCAGGGGGCCTGGGTTTGGGCCCTGGTTCTGCCACTGATTTGCTCATGTGGCACGGCCTTTGCTTCTCCATCCGTATAAACAAGAGGTTATGGGAGAGCCCCACGGTCCTGAAAGCCGCTCTGCCCCAGAATTCCACCCTCTGCCTGCCTTATAGCCTCACCTGCAGCTGATGAGCTCATCATCGGAGTCGGCATCGTTGGCGCCCACCTGGTTGCCATCATACGTGTCATCATACTCGTCCTCATAGTCATCACCACGGTAGGACAGGCCCTCACCTGGCTGCAGTGGTACCTGCAATGGCAGAATTGTGAGTCCGAGCGGCCCAGGGGCTGCTGGTCTCTCTGGCCCAGCACAAGCCCAGTGCCCTGGGGACACCCACCTCTTCTACCACCACACTGTACTGCTCATAGCGTTGCCGCTGAGCCACCACCTCTCGCTTGTCGTTCACCAGGCTCCGTGTGCTCTCCCCCTTTCTGGCATTGAGAGGAAACAGCAAAGGAGAAAAGAGGGAGAACTGTCAGGCATTGAAGGTTGCATTAAGGGTCCAGAGAGACCACAGGTTCTCTTCTTCACCCCTCAGGCAAGCACAGAATGGAACAACCAATATCAAGCACCGGTGAGGTGTGGGCAGGTAGGGCTCGCAGCTGCTGGTGCCCATGTGACCACGCCCAGTACTTTCCAGGGCATCCCAGAGCAGCTGTTAGAACATAAAATGCACCTACCCTTCAACCAGAAAGCACCCCTTCAAGGAATCCCCCCAGGAGGCCTCACTGGGGACTTTCTTCCCAGCATTGTTTGCTAATGGGGCAAATGGAAAGCAGCGAATGTCCACCACTAGGGGGAAGGCCGAACGATTTGCACCACATCTGTGTTATGGGGCGCCGTGCACCAGTGCTCCAGAGTGACACTATCTGTTTGTGCTGACAGAGAAAGAATTCTGAGAAGGAAAGTCCAGCTATGGAAAAACGCATACAGCACAATCTCATCTCTCTAAAAAGCTGAAAGCAAACAAGACCAACAATCTGTTCCTGTGGACACACACACATACATGTGTCCATGCATGTGAACACACAGAGAGGGGCCCGTGAGGCCCCCCAGATGACAATGGTGACTCTCAGCAGGGCCTGGGTTCTTTGAACCTTTTACAACAAACACTGAAGAAAGAGCAAGGCCACATGTGGGGTTTTTGCTGAGCTCAGGGGAGCCCCAGGGGGCCTTTGGAGTGTGAGAGGTCAGGACGGGTCCCAGACTCTTTCTCTCACCCCCACTTCACTACGGTGGCCTCCTAACTGGTCTATGTTCAACCTTCCAAGTCAGATTGCATGGGGGGAAGGCCCCTGAAAGTTCCACTCCCTCATGTCACAGGTGAGGAAACTCGGGTCTGGATGGGTGGGGGGTGGAGGTGACTGCCCGGGATCACCGTGGGCTGTAGCACAGCCACAATGGGGACTCAGGCCTGTTGATTCATGGCTTTGCAAATCTGTAGAAAAATCTGGTTTGTCAGACACATAGGCCTGTAGAATGTAGTTTTGAACCCTACAGGGGAAAAATCAATACGAGACGCCAGGCAAGAAAATCCAGCTTAGCTGTGAAATCAGGTCTCTGGAATGTATCAAGGGGTGGCGGGGAGGTACACAAAGCATTCGCAGCTCCCATAAGAACTTCTATTAACTGGCCTTTGGTGCAGGGAGGGGCAGCTGTCAGAGTCTGTCGGGCAGACATTGACCCTAGGGCAGGTCAGGACTGCAGCCCCAAGCATGGTGGGTTAGGATTGGACTTCTTTCAACAGTTTCTGCTAAGGGCCTGCTATGTGCCAGGCAGGGTACTAGGCTGAGCTGGGGAGGGATTCAGAAAGGAGTAAAATATGAATCTGACCTTGTGGAACTCACAGTCTGGTGGGGGTGGCATACAGGAAAATAGCAGCCAACATGAAATGTGCTGAATGGAAGCTCAGGGAAAGGAGGAATGAAATCTGGCTCAAGGGTCCCATCTGGGGGTTTGGGGGAAGGGGTGATGGAGGCTCTATGGTGGAAGGACGTTTGAACTAGACAAGGGAAAAACCTGCATCCACAGAAATCTTCCACATCACACCAGGAAAGAGGTCCCATGACTGTGACCTTGGCCCTCATGTGGCTCTCTTTGTCAACTTAGGGGCTGAGGAGGAAAGAGGCGGAGGAAGTGAAAGGGGTCCAAGCTTGTCTATGTGGTTGGTGCCACTGGTAGGAGCACATCCTTCCATTCAGCGCACATTTCCTGAGGGCCTACTAGGTGCCCAGGTCTGCACTGGGCCAGGGGACCAAGGATGAGTGAGAGGCGTCACTGTCCTTTCTGCTACATCCCATGGCTCCTGCTCCACACTGTCCCAGGTTCCAGGAAGGAGGGCAGTTCTTCAGTACTGGCAGGCTCCGTGTGTGGCTCCCTGGCAGGGCCGGACAGAGAAGCCGGGCTAACTCACCCACCCGGCAGGACCCTGGGAGAGAACTCAGCTAGGGACAGAGCAGCCTGGGCGCCTTGTCTATCACATCTAGGGAGGTGTGGTTTTGGCCCCATGACCTCATTCAGAGGAGAAAAAGAATTAGGGGTAAAACTAGCCGGGAAAAGATCCATCTGAGGGCCAGAACTTCAGTCAAGTCTGAAAATGCAGGCAGCAGTGACTTCGGAGATGGTCTTTGGAGCAGTTTGCTTCCTTGGCCCCCTAAAGGTGACAATGCGCCCAGGGAACAAGCGGGCTCCCTGAAGCCCAACTACCTTTCCCCTCCCCACTTCCTCTAGCCTATTCAAGGCCGACTGCACTCGCCCTTAGGAGGGTGACTCCCACCTTCAAACTTCTAAAGGGCCTGCAGAGGCAATAAACCCTTCTCCTTCCAGGTGAGAAACCAGGGGATTCAGAGAGACACAGTAACGTTAAGGTCACACAGCTTCTACAAGCTGGGACAGGGCCCGACCACAGGCCTCCTGCCTCGAGTCTGCTCTGCTGCTCCCTGAGCTATGTGACCACAGGCGGTCCTTTATCCTTGCCAAGTCTTAGTTGGCATCATCCCTGCCTCCCAAGGATGATGTCAGAGAAAATGAGTCAAAGCGGATCTGCCTCCTGCTGGGCTCAACACAGTGAATCCTAATTCTTCTACCGTAGCCCTTGTCAGAGCCTTTACTGTGCCCTGGGACTCTCCTAGAGGCAGAATGAATGCCCAGACGTTTTTGGCCATGGAACGTTTGTCGGGGGACAACATTTATTATCTTTCAGGGTACCAATGTCAAGTCCAAAGGAGTTAGAGGACCCCACCTTATATATACTGCCTCCTTCATTTAGCTAGGATACACCTGCAGCACCTGTGCTTGGTTAACTATCCAACAGCCACCTCCCGTCTCATCCCCACTCCTAACAGTCCCTCATTTTGTTCAGATCTTTCCACCCTCCCCCTTCTCCTGTGACCCAGTTCCTCAGGGAGACGTGGGGGGATTCTGGAGGCTTCTGGGAAAGATTTCCTGGTCTCTAAGAGAGATACGGGATAGACCTGGTCCAGACTTCCTCCTGCCACTGTCATTTTCGGAGGTCACGGCTCAAACAGCAGCAGCCACCCAGTGGCCTTGAGGGAGCCAACTCCAAGAGATAGAAAAGATGCGTCCTTGATGATGTGGCTGCCCACGGGTTAACTCAGCCAAGGCTGCCCTGGCTTACAATTTCTTGTCGTGCAAGAGAACAGATGTCCTTATTACCTGAGCCACTGAGTGCACCCTACCTGATTTAAGAACACACACACACTTTAATTCAAGTGTGACCTGCCTTGTGCTACTTAATTTCTCTTGTGGGCTTTGAGGGCAGGGCCTAGGGCCCTGAGCGCCTCTGCCCTACCCAGATTAGGACCTGTGTGCCGCTCAGGCCCCTGTGTGCCCCATCCCAGCACCTCTCCCACTTCACTGTGGCTTATTTAATGGTCTCTTTCCCACGGTCTCTGTGCTATTTGAGGGCAAGGCCTGGGTGCCCTGTTCACTCTGTCTCCCCACTGTCTAGGGCATGATCTGGAGCTCGTAAATCGCTTAATAAATATTTGCTGAATGAATAATGAATAGATGAATGGATGCTTTGCCTCTTTGCAAACCTCAGCCCCTGGGCTACCTGTCACAATAAGTTCGGTAATCATCTATCACCCAGACTCTCTGCCTGGCAGCCCGGAGCACCCTATAAGCAGGGGCACAGCCCTCCTTGTCTGACCCTTTCCCCACAGCAGAAGCTACAGAAGGTCATTCTGGCCTGGAACAGTGGCCACTGAAGCAGAATACCATCTCTGGCCTACAACCTGGGAATGTTGCAATGTATGTGACTAAGCAGATTACAACTGCTTCCTGTCCAGCCAGCCAGATAACTTTATAGCTGTTCTGTGCCTGCTCCCTAAGCACTTGGCCAGCCAAGCTTCCAGCATTGGATGGCCCTGGGGAGGGGAAAGAGTACGGGGACATCACGGAAGCAGCAGCCTGCAAGTGTCACTGGGACTCCTATCAAAAGAACAGGGCAGGTCCCCACCCCTGTCTGACCCGTACTGTCTCCATCTGTAGGACGAGGGAAAGGGCAGGCTGGACTTGTCCAGCAGTGCCCAGATTTCTGGATTTCATACGCCACCATTCAGGAGAACTTTGGGAGACTAGCACAGTGTCGTCAGTGTCTTATTTGCCATTCTCTACTGCGCTGTCCTCTCTACCATCACTGCTGACTCCCAGTCCCTCCCATGGATCTCCATTCCAAAGTCAGGTGACCTTTCCAAAACATAAAATGTTCTGGCTCATGGGACTGTCACCATGCCCCCACTGTTCACTCTGCTTAGAAAGCTTCTGCTTCCCCACTTTGCTGGCCCTTCCTTACCATTCCTCTCTTGGTCTCCTGTCATTTCCTCAGAGGAGCCTTCCTGCCTGGATGGAAGCCTCTGCCAAAGGCTTGGAAGTCTGCTCACCTTCACCTCGTGGTACCTGTTATATCTGCAATTTTACATTGCTTGTTTGATGAACTGATTAGTGCAAACTCCACGTGGGCAGGGGCCATGTCTGTTTCACTCTCCACTATATCCCCTGGAACTAATAAATCCGGGGCCTAGAAGGCCATAAGCACTGTGCAAATATTTGTCGAATGAATGAATAAATCATGAATGGTCTTTCAATGCCAAAAGAGTAGGAAGGACATAAACTATACATATAGTATACATGTAGAAAGGCCTTAAAATGAAATGTGTTCACCTTCAGAAACACTCACTCAATACAGGTCCTTAATTTTCTCGTTTTTGTCACAGACTGCAGAAAATCAGGTCACAGAGAAGCTTCTGGGAAGCACTGCCCAGCTCCACTATCCAGAGATTCAATGGTGGGCATAACCGAAGATGTAAGAGGCAGGGAAGAGTTTTGGCCCCTCTGGCCTTTTGCTATCAACAAGGAGGATTCACTAAAACCACCCCATGCAGAGTCAGAGCCTGAAGTATAATTGTTGAAGAACCTGCACCCAACTGAAAAGAAAGGGGAAAAAAACCCCCTCGCCCCTGCCTGTTGGAAGCACATAGGTCTCAGGCTGCCAGGGAGCCCTAAGCTGAACTCAGGCCAGTTCCATAAAGATGAAGCCCTTGGTTTCTCTTACTTTCTTGCCGCTGTTGCAGAGCTGGGGTGCCTGGAACCCCACAGCCCACTACACTCACCTCCTGCCCTTGTGTACCCGGCTCAGGTCCACTGAGTCCCTGCTGAACACATCAAACTCGTCGTTCTGGAAGACGTTGTGACGAGAAGTCAGCAGAGGCGTTGGGTCTGGCTTCACCTGTCTGGGGGTGAAATCAGTGTAAGGGGGCCTGGCCAGCTGATGCCCGCCTACACGTCCCCGTCACCATGTTCATGTTCTCCACTCTCCTTCAACGGCCACACCTGGGACACAGGGTGAACACCTGCCCTACTGGCCCCTGCCTGCATGGCCCACACCTTTCACACAGCTTGGTCCCCCTTGGTCTCGCTTGCCATTCACAGTTTTCTTCAAAGTTTCCTCCCTCATTTAGTGCTCAGAACAGCCCTATGAGCTAGGTGTCACAGATCGCTCAGGCTAACACGGGCACAAGGAAGCTGAGGAACTTGTCCAAAGGCAGAGCTAACAATTCACTTCCAACAACTCACTTGTTCAATAAACATCATTCGTTCATGGAGGAAACACCTGTTTATCCCTCATTCCTGCTACCCCATGAACCCTCAGGGAAGCAGTGGGCCAAACCCAGAAAGGGTAGGTAGGAAGGAAGGAAGCTTCAGCTGTTCTTCCTCAGGAATCTCCTGGGAAGGTGGCAATGACAGGGGCAGACCAGTCACTTCGGAGCTCTGAGGGCTCAGCATCCCCTTGCACATCCCATGTCTTGAATCGGTCTTCCTACAGGTCTGCCGGGATGTCCAGCTGTGCACTCTCTGCCTTACAAGGGCCATGAGAAGCTCCAGAGGGGCCTACAGTTTTCATGTTTCCCCAAACTGGCATTAGTCAGCAAACACCTCTCTGGGGAAGAGACAGCAAGCTGAGTCTCAGGACATGAAGGAAGGAATGGTGGGAGGCAGAGGAGCTACGAAGGGGCCCTGACAAGGGCCTGCAGAGCCCTCTTGCAGGGACACTGAAGCAGCCTGGGTGCCATGGGCCTCCTCCCACCTGTCTCTCCCACCTGTCTAGGCTGCGGTCCAGCTGGCTGAGGGCAGGGGCCAGCCGCTCCTCCAGGATGTTGTTGATCACCTGCTCCGGGTCATAGCCATAGTGCTCCAGGCAGGCCAGGATGAAGCCCTCCCCGAGGTCCGGGAGCAGATCCTTCACTTGGGAGATGAGTGAGTCCAGCTCCACACCACACACGGCGGGGCCCAGAGCAGCAGCTGCCCCCAAGCACTGTGGAGAGAGCTGAGTGAAGGAGGAAGGCGAAGGCAAGTGGGTGCTAGGGCAACAGGCCCCAAACAGTACTGGGCCAGGAAACAGGAGGCCGGATTTGAGTCCTGGCCCTTGCTGGCTGTAGTACCTTAGTCAAATGACTAAGTCAGGGTCTCCATGCCACAAACAGCCATGGCTTCACTAACCACGGTCCTTCTCAGCCCCGACAAGCTGATGGCTGGCATTGGAGGGGAGTAGCAGCCATCAGGCCTGGCCTGTGTGGAGGTGTTCCCCTTTAATTATATGCTTTTCAAAAGGGATTTGGTTTATAGACTTCTTGATGCAGCTTAATTTTGTTACACTTTTCATTTAAGGAAATTCCCAAATTAAAAAAAAAGAAAAGCAAAGCCTTCTATGACTCAGATAAAAAGCCAAATGGGGAAAAGGGTGGGAAGAGGCAGAGGGAACCGTCATTCCCCAAGGCCCTGTGAGAGCTAAGGCACCCGGGCTCTAACAGAACATCAGCATCTATTAACAGGGCATCGAGGGCCAGCCAGGTTCAGGGAGCCCCACACAGCAGCTCTGTATATCCCAACAAGCTCACGAAGACAACTAGCCCCATCTTACAGATGAGGAACGAAGGCTCAGTGTGAGTGACCGTGCCTCAGGCCACACAGCTGGCGAGTGGCGGAACCAGGATGCACCCCTGAGCTGCTTTACTTTACAGACTGTGTGGTCTCAATCCCTATATCATGCTGCCTCCTGACACACAGGGCTCAGTGGCCAATCAGTGCAGCCACAGACCCGGTGTTTTGGAAAAGCCCGGAGAGAAAGCACTAGATGAGAGGTTTCCAAACTGTCTCAGTGGAGCCCTGCAGTTCCCTGGAGGGGCTTCCGGGGTGGCCAAGCAGTGAGACCTGATACTGCACCCAACTGCAACCAAAGCAGCTCCAGTGTGATCTGTTCAGAGGAGAGAGGATTTTGCTTCGTTTGACAGAGGGGAACCAGAGGCTTTGATAGCTTATGAGACTAGCTCTCTACCTACATGCAGCCCAGTGTGCCCTCAGCCCAGGACTCTCTAAAGGCAGCACATGGCTGACCAGCAGGTCGAGGTGCCCATCCCAAAAGGAACCATTTTTCCCTGAGAGCAGAAACAAAGAAAGGAGGCTTCCTGCTGCCCCAACCTCTGAGATGGAGCCTGGAGGGGCTGGCACAGGGAGAACGCGCCACTCCAGACACACGTACCTCCACTCGCTCGGAGTTCTCCAGATGCGATGCCAGTCCACTAACTGGCTCCGCTGTTGCCACAACCCCATTAAGATCCTCAGCCACTGGCGGGTCTTTAGCACCTGTGGCTTTCCGTCGGTCCGCCCCTTCCCACGCACTCTCAACCGCCTGGAGGATGTAGGCAGTCCGTGTCTCATCTCTGTGAGGAAGTGTTAAGGGGTCTCTCTTGGGTGCCAGGCCTCTCTGCCCCCTCAGCTGTGCGGCAGCATAATTTCTCAACCCCTCCCCAGCATGCGATCATACGGTTCCTGCCAGGGGCTGTCTAGGACACACCCCAGCGGGTGTTGCAGGCACCTAGGCTGCACGAAGAAACAGACTGGATCATGGCCCCACTGGCCATAAAACCCAGTACCTGTCGCTCCACAGAAAGCAGCTCTGGGTAAAGACAGGGACAGGAGGAGCATCTGGAATCAGAGCACCTTGGGGCAGGGTGTTTGGATGAGCCAGCAGCTCCTCCTCTGCACTGACCCCCAGGAGGCACTGCCATTGGGCGTCCTGTCCAACCACCTGAGGGCTTTCTGCAGAGGCTGAAGGCCACAGGGTGCCTCTGAGACAGGACAGAGCAACCCACCCCAGCCACCAAAATGGCTCCCAGGTTTGCTCCTCCCTGTCCCTCCTCCCTCTCTACCACCCTGGGCACTGCTAGTCAGACACCTTAGAGTTTCCCTAGACTCTCTCACTCCACTTCTAAGCCGAACCCCCACTGGCTATGCCTGGATGCCAGCGACGGCATCCTCACCAGCCCCTGGGCCTCAGAGAGATCCCTGGCCAGTCCATTCTCATTCCTGTGCCAGACAGAGCTTTTCTAAAGTCTAAAACTGACCCTGTCACCCTCTGCTTTAACCCTTCCACAGCTCACCGGTGCTCGCGGGACAGCGCCCAAAGTTCTCAGTGGGGGTCACGCCAAGGCTGTGCAGGTCTGCCTGGCCCCAAATCATCTGCCATATCCTAACCTGTCCCATGAGACCCCTTCCCCTCAGCCCCGCCTCAAGATCCACGCACAATACTCGTGGTTGTCCAGGCGGACCCACCCTGCTCTCTGTCCCCTGGGAATGCTGAGCTTGGGCTTGGCCATCTCCTGCTCCTTCTGCTGTTCTCAACGTGGACGTCGCCTCTGTGTGACACCTGCACCCCGAGCTCTGCTGGGTTAGGTGCCTCCCCTGGCTTCCCTGCCCTCTGAATTTCCCCCATATGACACTCCAGCTAACCGCCTGTTTAGCCGTCTGTTTTCCGTCCTGCAGTGAGGTCCGTGAGGACAGGGCTGAGTCCCTCTTGGTCACACGAGCCCAAACGCTCAATAAACACCTAGAGAAAGCACGACTGTGCCTCCCCTGTTCCAAGGACCAGAGACGTCATCTCCACCAGAAATGGGCTGGAGCCTTGGCAAGGGTCTAGGCATCTAGGGAAAGCTGGCTGACCTCCATGTTCTGGGGTAAACTTCTCTGTGGTACTTCGGGTCCCAGCAGCCCATCACTGACCTGCTCAGGCCAGGGCCCCCCCAGTGTCTGTGATAGAAGGATACAAGACTGACGAGGCCTGCTGCAGCAAGCTGACATCATCGGCCACAGGGAAGAGCGCATCGTAGTCCCGGAGGAACCTGCCAGACAGAGAGCAGATTGGAGGGACAGGGCTGGGGCCACAGGGGCACCAGTCTGTTATCTGCTGCCCAACCACAAATTCCAGAGCCTTAGACTGTGCCAGGGGCTCTATTATGAAAGGTCTTGTGGGGACTGATGAAGCACTGTGGGCCTGTCCCACTGCTGGTCTCAGCTCAACCACACTCACCTCTTCTCCTGCAGCAAAGAACTGAAGATCTGAAGGAATTCCTCAATGAAGCCCTGAATGCTGTCACAGCTGGAACAGGACACCAGGGAAGATGAGTTCATTTGACGCAGATGACATGCAGCTCCCTTCCCTGCCCACCTCGCCCCGCCCTGTGCAAGGCCTCTAGCCAATTGGAGGAAACCATCCTTCTCAGCAACATGGGAGTAAGAGGGGGCAGATAAAGTGAGGGAAATGCCCTATCTAGGCTTGGGGAGGGGCTCTTCCACCTGGGCAGTGGCTTCCAAGGGCTTACCTGCTTTCTAGGACAGGGAGAAGGCAGATCTCGTTCAGGATGGTATGAAAAATCTCCAGTAGCTTCTTTCTGGAATGGGACAGCCTCTGCCATAGGTCACCTAGCAGCCTTTGAAGGCCAGGGGTAAAAAGGAAAGAGAGATTTGAGAGACAAAAAGGCGCCAAGGGAGCTTAATCCCAGCAGTTGCAGGTTCCACGCCCCCTCCAGGCCCACCCCCATATATGCACCCTGGGCTGAAAAGGCCTCACAGTTCAGGTGGACAGCAGCTGGGAAAAGCCTACAGGCTCTTCCAGCTCTGAGAGGCTGGCTGGTTCCAGGGCCACTTCTCTATTCAAACAGTGGGTCTGGAACCAGCGGCTGGTTAACAAAAGCTTAGAGCAATGGCTGAGGGGAAAAGGCTTAGATGCAGGGGCCAGGCGGCTACTCAGAGGAGATGCAGCAGCCAAAGCTGCAGGGTCCTGTGTCCCACCCCTTGTCTTAGAGATGGGAATGCTGAAGCAGGGCCTTGGCTCAGGCTTCTTTCAGCCACAGTGACACCCAGAGTGTGGTCCCCGCCTCACTTGCTGTCTTCAAGCCTCCTCTTCTTAATTGCAGACTCCAGCTCAGGAATCGCTGTTTCATAAAAGGAAGCAAGTCTGTGGAGGCACACATGGTAAATGGCTAAATTAGGTCATAAATGCTGCACTTCATCAGAAAACCAAAGCAAACACAAAGGAGCAGGAAGGCCCATTTCCTGCTCCTAAGTTGTCACCTCAGTTTTCTCCTGGGATGACCCTGGCCCCAGATTGTCCCATTGTGGTAGGTCCCAGGAAGAGGTCCCTAGGAAGTGACCAGTAGCTACGTCTTCCATTCAGACGGGAAATCATATGATAGGGTCATTCTAACAGAGCCATGAGATGGCCTCCCAGGACTAACTGAAGTTTGAGAAACACAGGTCACTTTTTTTTGGCTCAGAAAGTTCTAGCAGCTGCCTACCTCATGTGATATCGCACAGCAATCTCTTCCTCTGGGGCATCCATACCTAGCACAGCCTTCCTTCCCACCGCAGCAACCTCGCCCCCCCCCCCCCCAAATGCAGTTTAAACTTTCCGTTCCAGCCACATGCTTCTTTTTTTTTTTTTAGTTAAATCAGCCACACGCTTCTTCATCATGCTCACCCATGTGATTACTCCTTCCCAGAACCAGATGCACAGTACTCAGAGTATGTCATCCTTAGAATGTATATGCAGCTGCCTCCCTTCTGCAGTGTAATCCCGTCTCTGAACATCCTAGTTTCCCAAAGTCAGAAATAGAGCCTGTACAGGCATAGGACAGGCCTAGGACAGTGCTGAATCTGTATCATGCACTCTATAAACATTTGTCTGTCAGTTGGCTGACTTTTGGCAACTTCCAGCCTATGGTGGTGCTGTATGCAGAAGAGGGTAACTGGGCCAAAAGAGGCAGGCCTTACTAGGCCCATAGGATGGCACCCAGAAGACAGAGAGGGCAGTCTGGCCCAGAGTCAGGTGTTGCCAGGATACACTGCTGGTGGGAGGGTAAGTTGGAACAACTCTTCTGGAGGGTGATTTGGCAAGATCTATAAAAATTTAAAATGCATATACCATCTGTTCCTGCAATGCTACTTCTAGGAATTTATTACTCAGAAACACTTGCAAAGATGCAAAGTGTATGTGCTAAGTTATTCTTGTTTTTGTTTTATTTTACTGAAATTTTATTTTTTAATTATAGTTTACATTCAATATCATTTTATGTTAGTTTCAGGTGTACAACATGGTGGTTAGACAAAAATTTATTCTTTATAGCATTTTTGTTTTGTAATAGCAAACAACTGAAGAAAATCCTAAAGATCCATGGGATCTGGTATCCCATACAATGGAATTATGTCCAGCCATACCAAAAATTGAGGGTGCTTTATGCACTGACATACATTAATTTTAAAAGTACAATGAACATAGTACATAGAGTATTCATATGCCAGTATTAAATTTTAAAAGGGGCTGGGTGATATATAATATGCACATTTGCTTGTATATGCATATCTCTGGAAAAATTCCACAAAAAACTAAGAACAATAGTTGTATATGAGGAACAGAACTGGAGTAGAGAGAGGGGGAGATGTTACTATATATTTCATACTTTTTTGAGTCTTGAACCATGTGAATGAATTATTCATTCATAAAATTACAGGACAGAGAGAGAGAGATTCAGATATACTCAAGCATATACTCAGGAGGAAGGAGCAGAAGGCTATTGTTATGAGAGGGATTAGCTAAAGAGTTGTTTGATGGCTATGACCCCTTGCCGAAAGTCCTCAGGGACTGAGGTTACTGCATTTGCTCACTGGGCGTTCCTGGCCTCCAACACAGTTTGCACAGGCTGGGCCAGTCCCAGGCTGTTTCTGGGTCAAAGGCAGTGTCATTTGGCAAAGGCAGTGTCACTTTCAGTCAAAAGTGTTTTCCTTTCTTCCTCCCCTCACCCTGAAATGAGTCCGGCCGCTCCCCTCCTTCCACTATCCCTTGCAAGAAAGTCAGCTCTTCCAAAAATGACCCCCCAGCCCCAAAGACCCTTTCAAAAGCAACCTGTGCCACATTTGGGGAGATGCTGTAACAAAAGAGGAAAATGCCTGTGAGAAGTGGAAATAAGCAGGGCACAAAAGTCTAGGACTAACACGATCTGTCGCAGTGATTTAATTTCCTACCTTTGGGGATTTTCCAAATTCCTGCCAGGATTTGCCACATGTACCACGAGAAAAGATACCTTTTTTAAAAAATGGCCAGTGACAGTCCCATCCTAACCCCTTTCTACTTGAAAATTGTCGATCAACACTTTATTCTAACATTCTGTGGGAGGCTGATCAGTCCCAGCGTCTGAGTTTTGCCAGCTGAGGTGACCCAAAAGGAGTCAGAATACCACTGTCATCCCTGGCACATGTCAGCGCTAGATAAACGCTTTGCTGAATGGGCGAGTAAATGACTGAATGGACTGACGGCCGGTGGACAGAGCTGGGCAGCTCCCAGAACTCCTTCAAACAGTGGAGAAAGATGCCTGGCAAGAGCAACAGCCAGAGGCCACTGTGAACGGGCCAGACCCACTGTTGCCAGGCAACATGTAGGTTACCAGCCATGCCTTACACCCCTTTCTCCTGCACAAGGAAGGAACACGTATCTGCTCATGGTGCTGAGAAGGCAAAGAGGGTCTCCTTTCCTTCTCCACGTCCTCCTCTACCTCTTTCTTCATCCCAACAGGATCTTTCTATGACTTCTTTGGATAAGAACCTCCAGTGGCTCCCTTCTGCCTACAGAATGAAGGTGCCACTCCCTGCGAGTGTTTAAGGCTCCTCTCAATCTTACTTGTTACCAGCTTTCCCCAGGGCCATCTCTCTCTGTTACCCACTCCTTTTCCTGCTGCCCTGGTCTCCACCCCACCCCTCCCCTCGCCCACAATTTGTCACCTTCTACTTCTTGGCTTTCCCAGGAACACACTCTGGGCCTTGGAAGACTTCACTCCACCCGCCTGGCACGCCCTTCCTGCCACTGCAACCTTTCTCTGTCTGGAAGGTTCTTCTCATTCTTCCAAACCTTGTTTAAGGATCGCCATGAAACCTCTTATTTCACTGGACAGAATTCTGCCTCCCTCCTCTGTGTTCCCAGAGCATTTCATAATACGGCCGCAACAGCCCGCTCTGCATGTGAGCATGTCTGCTTGTTTCCTTGTGTGTGTTTCTCTGCCCTGGGCTAGGTGCTGAAGCCCTCAGCCACTTCTTGGTGTCTATTACTCCCCTGCCCAAGACAGGAGCTTTGATATAAAACAGAACTGAATTGAAATTGCCCTCTTCTTGGCTGTTGCTATTTTCCCCCCCTACCCTGCTCTTAGCCAAAAATGGGAAATGCTTCTAAAATGCAGGCTCCATGCAAGCAGGAGCCTTATCTGTGTTCTTTACTTCTATGTCCCTGGGCTGTAGTAGGGCCTGGTATGTTGTAAGCACCCAGCAAATACTTGTTGAATAAGGGTGAGAACCATTATTTCAACAGCCCAAACTATCACAGTACCTGTAACAGAAGTCGTGTTTCTGGAAGGTTTGGCAAGCCGAAGGGAAGATATCCAGAAAGGCCCAGAGCGTAGTGCAGGTATCACAAAGGTAGAGAACAATGTCCTTTAATTCCTGTGGCCAAAAGAAAACACTGCATTATTCTCCTCTGCCCCCTTGTTACAGCTCTGTGAAGGGTCGGAGACAAAGTTGACACCGCCAGGGGTCCCCAACAAGCAGATGCGTTGTGGTGGAAAGAGAACACTGGAGGTTTCGGCAAAGCCTGGCTGGTCCATCTCTAGGAGGACAACCTGGGCAAGTCACTCAACCTCCCTAAACTTCAGGTCTTGCTATGTAGGACCAATGGGTGCACACCCAGTGACATCTAGGGTTACTTCCAGCTCTAGGGTAATATGGTCCTCTTCTAAGTTGAAGGAGAACCAACCCTGGAATCTGAACACAATGCCTGTGGCCCCCACAGAAAGTACATCCCAGTAAGAACAAGAATAGCAAGCCCACACTTTTCTTGCATTTTGAAGAGAGTATTCAGAACAGGGAGCCCTTTCTTATACACTTCCCTGATTGTCATGACAACGCATGAGAATTGTTATGAGCTGGGCAGCTGTTAGAATCTCTATTTCACAGGTAAAAAACCCTGAGGTTCAGGGGAGTAAAAAGGATTTGCTCCCACTGCACTTAGTGTACCCCTTTCTGAAATACTTATTTCACGTCTATTTTCCCATGAGATCATAAGGTCCAAGACAGCGGCTCACAGCTGCCTTGTTCCTGCTCTATCTCCAGTGTATAAAGCAGGGCCTGGCATATGTTCAGGCTTCTTAAATATTTACCTTCTGCCTGTCATCAGCATGAGACTCTCAGTTCCATGAGAGCAGACAACAAGTCTGCTTTTGCTTACTGCTTTACACCCAACGCCCGGCACAGGGCCCAGCCCATGTCAGGGGCTCCTCAGCACAAATTCACTGAATGAACGAATAGCCCAACAAACAGCACATGAATGAACCTGGGGCTGAACTACACTCCTGTCCTCTGAATTCCAGTTCTGTATTCGTTTCTCTACTCCCTAAATAAAGTTTCCAGAGAAAAAGGAAAGCCTGCTGAAATGCTCTAAATGTGATGGGAATAGTTGCTTATGGAATTGGGGAAAGGGGCGTGGCGGGGGGGGGAGAAGCTGCTGGGTCCTCTATCAGGCAGTAAGAGGCTGGGCCGAAGGGCAACCTCACCAGGAGGGGCATGTCACTGGGGGTCAACCGGCCCCTCTCTTCAAGCTTCTGTGGTGTGGCACTGGCCCCGTCCCCTTGCAAACCACTGTGCTGGAGGATATTGCTGAAGACCTGCGAAACACAAGAGGTGACTCTCCCACAACCTGCTGGCCCAACAGCTAGGACCTCTGTCCTACAGCCAGGGATGGGTGATCTGAAAACTGCCTTGGACTCTGGAATCGATGCCAGTGCTCCTGTGACACCAGGTGAGACAGTGACCTTCTCTGAGAGCAGGGTCAGAGTGGAAACTGTAAAACAGAGATCATGGGGATATTCTCTCTACAGGATTATGGTGAGGATTAAAAGACAAAGTGTATGTAAAGCCCCGGGATCTTGCAGATATTATCTGACTGGAGAGGCTGGGCAAGTGTATGGTAACATTTAAGATATACATTCAGCAATATATAATATGTTTTTGGATCCCCCCGTAGATGGCATTTATAGGAACTATATTAAAATAAAAGCCAAATCAACAGTGAAGGGAAACAGAGTCGATCATAAAATTATGCAATCTTTAACTGATTATGCTATCCTTAAGTATGATAATGGATAACTGTCCCTCAAAATCCTTCAGGAATTGGTCCTAAGGCCCTGGTGATACCCAAATTCACAGGTGCTCAAGTCTTGTGAATTATTTTATAAGTTCAAGACACCTATATAAAAGGGCATATTTGTATGTAACCTACACATCGTCCCGTTATACTTCAGGGCTGTTCGACCTACAGCCTGTGGGCTGGATGGCTATGAATGTGGCCCAACACATAATCATAAATTTACTTAAAACCTTATGAGATTATTTCTGTGATTACGTGTCACAGTGTATTTAATGTGTGGCCCCAGACAACTCTTCTTCTTCCAGTGTTGCCCAGAGATGCCAGAAGGTGGGACACCCTGGCAAATCATCTCTAAATTACTTATAATACCTATCCAATGCAAATGCTATATAAATAGTGATAATACCGTATGGTTTAAGAAATGACAGCCCTGGCTCAGTAGCTCAGTTGGTCAGAGTGTCATCCCAATATGCCAAGGGTGAGGGATTTGATCCCTGGTCAGAACACAGACAAGAAGCAACCAATGAATGCATGAATAAGTGGAAGAAGAAATTGATGTGGTTTTTTCTTTCTTTCTCTCTCCCCTTCCCTTTCCTTCTCTCTCTGAAAGCAATAAATAAGAAAAAAAATTTTAATGACAAGAAAAAAAGATCTGTACATTTTCAGCACAGAAACAATGATCATAGGCCTATCTATATAACACACATCAGCAATGAAGCATTTAAAAAATTTTTTTGAAGATTTTTTAAAAATGTATTCATTTTTAGAGAGAGGGGAAGGGAGGGAGAGAGGGAAACATCAATGTGTGGTTGTCTCTCACATGGCCCCTATTACAGACCTGTCCTGCAACCCAGGCATGTGCCCTGACAGGGAATCGAACCGGTCACCCCTTGGTTGGCAGACTGGCACTCAATCCACTGAGCCACACCAGCCAGGGCATAAAAAAACATTTTCAATCCATGGTTGATTAAGTCCTCAGATGCAGAACCCATGGACACAGAAGGACAACTGTATTCTAAAAGTTACCATGATGATGGATATCTCTTGGTGTTGAGATAGAATCACAGGGGAATATTTATCTTCCTTTTTCTATTTTTCATACTTTCCAATATTTCACATTGAACATTATTATTTCATAAAATTATTTTAGAAAACTTTAACACTCTTATTTCAGAAGCCTAGCTCTCTTAGAGGGGTAGCCTTAGAGGCTATGGCTATCAGCAAACACAACATGCAAGCCAAGCCCTTTTGCATGAGTACAGTGCCTGACAGCCCTGAGGTTTCAGCCTGCTCAGCAGGGAAAGAGCAGAGTGGAAGTGGTGTGGTGAGGAGCGGGACACAGACCGTCTGGAGGTGGGACCACAAGGGTGTGGGGAGTAAACGTTTATCCCGGGCTCAGGAAAGTCAAGGGGCATTATCAGGTGGGGAAGAGGACTGCTTCCCAAGCTCCCCCTCCTCTGGGCAGGGCTCAGAGCTGGTACCTGAAGGATGGTGGGCATGGTTTCATCCAGGTCATTATAGTAACTTGGCTGCTGGGTAAAGATGTTTCCTGAAAAGAGAAAAGAAAGGTAGGAATTGGGAAAAGAGAGTGGGGGTGGAGAGGATACATTACAAATAGTTGCCAGCATGTTCTGTGACCTTTCTTCCCTTTCCTAAGCCTGCCTGAACTAGAGCAGTCCTGGCCCCAGGCCCTGCTGGCACCAGAGCTTTGGCCCAGCCTAGAAACTTCCCCAGGGTGGGGGAGGGACTTGCTCGGCACAATTTAACCTTATAAGCACCTCTGCCTAGTGAGTTATGTAAAAGACCTGCCCTGGTCAAACCAGCTCTGCCTGACGTCCCGGGGAGTGATCACACTTGGGCACTGTGCCTTGTATGACAGCATTGGCTTTGGAAGTGGGAGTTAGTCATCCAGGAAAATGAGGAGATATGATCTCTTTGCTCAAGAAACCTGGATGCCGAAATCCAGGATTCTTGCCAGGCCACGTCTCCAATAATGTGAAGGGATCTAAGGAAAAATTTCTCTGGAAATTCTTTCACCCTCTGCTTTTGAACATGCCGGTCATACTAATGGATCCCACTCCAAGGTGAGAGGCCTGCGAGGGACCTAAAGACAGATTTACCACCCATTTGCAGTTGTTTCTGTAAAGTGAAGCTCCTCTGTGAGTGTTCACTATTCTCCCAGTGTTGCTGCTGTGAGTGAGGAGGTTAGAGCGTATGGTAACTGGAACAGAAACCAAAGGATCTGACTGCCCAAATGGCGAAGGGAGGGAGGGAGAATCACAGCTAGTGGGGATGTCACATGCAAATGCAAACGCCCTGAGGGGCTAGGGTTCTTCATCCCATTCTAATCCTAGCATTTAAGATTGGCTGACTGTCAGGGTGTTCAGAATTCTAGGTGTCTTCTGTCCTTGGGCAGGTCTGGCCTCGGTTTCTTCATTGAAAACTCTGCAGCCCTCACCCCATCCCAGAAGATTTGTAAATGCAAAAGCCAGATGGCACTGGGTAAGTAAGCAAGTACCTAGGTGGCTGGACTTTCTGTAAACACTTTCCTGGATGCTACTTTTTTCCTTGATTCCAGAAAGCTGAGTTTCATCAACACAATTGCTCAGCACTTCCCATCTCCAGAAGGGTGCTGATCCCTCAGCCTGTGAAGGTACTCCCTGACTGTCTGCACCCACCTCCTACTCCTGACAGGCAAGAAGTGACTGAGCTGTCTCTCCACCAACCTCTCCTCTTCCTCATAAAACCCTCCTATCGGGATCCTCAAGGTCAAGTCAGAACTCCTCACCAAGGCACAAAGGGCCCTGTGAGATCTGGCCTCTGTTGGCATCTCTGGCAACCCTCTCACCATTCCTGGCATCGCACCTCCTCCCTTGCACCGTCCTCATTCTCAGAGAATAAGTCTTGTCCCCTCCTTCTGCATGAAGTGTCCTCCCATAAGGCAGAAGTCGCCTTCTCCAGGTGGTGTCTCCTAACCCAGGCATCAGGAACAGGTCTCCTCCCATAATTTCCAGGGCCACACTGCGGTCCTTTCCACACCCCAACCACCTGGCATGGTGGAAGGCACTCTCTCATAATCCTCCCAATGCTCAAGCCTGAGTAACAGCGATGTTTTAACAAGCATCAAAAGAGATCACATTTCATAATCTACCCTTGGGGACTTTGAAGTTCTTTTCCTTTCCTTTATCTGATTCTGATTATGGTGAAGATCTGACTTTGGATCTCTTAGAGAAATAATTAAAAGGTATGGGACAGCAGTGGCATCCTTGGAAATGTCCCTCCTCGGACTAAAGCGGTCCAGAAACCCAGGGCAAATGGGGAAAGTTGCCAAATAGATCAGTGCAGCGCAGACAGGGCCGAGGCCCAATGTACTCTTGCTTTGGCAAAGCAGCTCCAAGAGAGTCCAACTGAAAGGACCTGCGTTCAAAATTACTTGTTAATTCACAATACCAGCCTTGAGGTTTAAGAAAAGCGGGGTGTAGGGGGAGTAAGGGGCAGGGTAAGGACTGGGCTTCTGCCCAAAGGACCATCAGCCAGGTTCCTTGCTCCCTCCTTCTCTCCTGTGCCTGCAGGCCCATTCTCCACACCCATCCCCAACACACACACACACACACACACACACACACACACACACACACACAATGAATGGATTCCTGATGCCTGGTCCTGCCCTCTTTTCCATTAACCATCCTCTAGAGCCAAAGAATAAGCCAGTATAGGGTTCTCAATATGGGAATGAGGATGTTCTAAAACACCTCAAAATCTATAAGGGGGTATGTTTTTCCAGAGACAAGCTTTTATCTGCTTCTCAAAGGAGTCAGTGATTCAAAACAATTAGAAGTCTTGGCAGCAGGCAGAGCTTTCTCCCTCTACCCTTGCCTGTCTGGATGCGTCATCTCGCCCCCCCCCACCCCCGCCCCCAACAATCCACACAGCCATTCTACACCCAACAGAGCTAACGCTGACCTTGCCTCTACTCACAATGCACTCTGCCACCTCCCAAAGGCCTTTTCTGCAACTGACACCAGTTTTCTCTGGAATCATTAAGACTTCTCTCTTCAGCTGACCTCACTAGCCCTGCTTTATTCCGCCTCCCAGACGTCCTCTTCCACCCCAGCAGCCCAACCAGGCTCTCACCTTCAAAGCCACATGGAGCCACTAGCCTCCTTTGTGGTCTCCTGTCATTGCCCTCTGTACCCATGTGCTGACAGATTAACCTTGTTGCCAGACAGTTCCCCACCCTGCTCCAAGCTCCTAGGGACTGCTATGGTCTCATCACAATAAGAGCTCACACTTATCAAGTGCCTATAACGTGCCAGGCACTGTGCTGAGCACCACCTCACATTTAATCCCCACAACCATCCTATAAGGTGGGTAAGTCACTAGTCTTCCCATTTTTAGATGAGAAAACTGAGCCTTAGAGTGGCTAATTGACAATTAGCTAATTAGAGTGACAATGTGACATAGCTAGGAATAGAGCTGGAGTGTGAATTGGGCAGTTCACCTTGAGAACCTGCCTTTTGAGCCACCAGTAATACCACTCCCCAGAGCCTGGCACTGAGCCCTCCTGATCTGGCCCTTCCCTCATCTCCCAGAATGCTCCACTCTAACTAAACTGGCCTAATAATTGTGTCTTTAACAAAGCAGGCTTGCTTCTTGCTCACTCACACCATCCTCTCAGTCTACATTAAAATTACTAAGGGTCTTTCCCTGGGAAAATAAAATAAATTAACTGATGATCATGCAAGACTTAAATTTCAATGCGAAACCAGGGGTTGTTCCAATAAAAAAGTTGGATATGAAATTTCATATACATTAGCTTGGATATGTTTTTAAGAAACACAGAGAAGAGACTGGAAGGAAATAATCACCAAATGATTGTCTTTAAATACAGGAATTTGGTAACTGCTTTCCTGATTCTTTATATTTAGTATTCTCCCAAAATTTTCTAAATTAACATACATTACCTTTATTATTAGGGAAAAAAAAGGAAGGAAACCATTATAAGGGATCACTCAGCTTTGCAACTGGGCATTTCAAAGACCATGTCCTACAATCTCAAGGTGAAGGAGGCTGACAGCGGTGCCCGGGGTGAGCACCTCTGTGCAGGGCCCAATGCCATGAACTGCAACGGGCTCTGTTCCCTCTGTAGCATCCCAACCAAGCTTCTGTCTCTGACTGAACCTTCCAGCCCACTGCCTCCTGACAGGATCTGCTGCTGACTTCATTTCTTTCACAACCCAGAGTCCTCTCTGAACTCTGCCCCCATCTGTTTTCAGCAACAATGCAAATCATGACATTTCTAGGCAGCCTCAGCATCCCTGAGGCAGGGCGTAGCAAAGAACAAGAGTTCAATGGCCCTGACTGGGTAGCTCAGTTGGTTAAAGCGTCATCCCAACACACCAAGGCTATGGTCCGATCCCTGGTCAAGGCACATATAAGAAGCAATCAATGCATGCATAAATAAGTGGAACAACAAACTGATGTTTCTCTTGCTCTCTCTCTCAAAGCAATTAAAAAAAAAGAATAAGAACTCGACAGTTAGGCCTATGTGACATAAATCCCAGCTTGGCCACTTATTAGTCATGGCCTCTTAGGCAAGTCCTTACATTGTAAACTTAGTTTCCTTATCTGCGGATGTGGAAGATGACGGCATCAGGTCACAGGGCTGCTGTGAGGCCTGGCTGAGATGACACGTGAGGAATGCTCAGCCCCGCAGCAAGCACTCCAATAAAGGTTAGCTATCACCACTGCTGTCACTCTTATCACCAAAGCAAACTCCCGCCTTCTTCAACTGTTTAACACATGGCCTAACACTCAGACTCCAAGATCCTTGAGGAACCACGTGGTACACGTCTTTGTCTCCACTCCCCGTCGCCACCCAGACACTTATTTCAGGGGTGCTATACACATATCTAAGTCATTTCCAAGCACCACCCACCATGGCCACTTGGAATCCCCCTGCACTCATCTAGGTGCCTACCTTTGGAACCTCTAGTTTGGCATGTGGGGGCCATCTCTGTGCACCCCAGGTCCCACGCCCTACGCACCTATCATCTTCTTTAGCAGTGGCGAGTTGCCTTTTCCAAAGAGCACGCAGAGGTCCAGGATCTTTGGGATGTCAAACAGGAAGTTATTGTAGAGGATTTCTCCAAATGCAGAGGGGGAAATGAAGTGATCCTAAGGAACAGTGCCAAGAAAAGATAAGAGACTTTCTGAAAGCAGATGCATTGTAAAGTAATAGCAAACTCACAAGAAACAACCTTTGGGTCCATCAGCAGGGGACTGGATAATTAATAAAGGTCCATCCATACCATGGACACGTCTGAGACTCATATATTGACCTGGAGAAATAGCTGTTCTTCATTTTAATATAAAAAGAAGCAAAAATACATTATGAAACAGTTGGTTGGGGATTCATTCTAAAATATTCATGGATAAATTACCATGATGTCTGGGATAGCTTAAAAATATTCCAAAAAAAAAAAAAAGAAACAAAGAAAAGCTCTGAAAGAGAGAGAAAACTAGATCAGCAAAATGTTGATAATTGTTGAAGTTGGATGATGGGTACATAGGGTTCATTATGCTTTTATGTATATTTGAAAATGTCCATACTAAAAATGTTTTTTTAAAAAAGATCCTATTTTTAAAACAAATACATGCACAGACGCACACCCCTATTTAAAGGGAGAAGGGAAAAAAAGGAAAACCCTAAAGGAATATGCACCTTAAAAGTGGTTATTTTAGGGGGAGGAGATTTTGTAGGTAAACTTCACTATTGACAAATTATTTCTGTAATGTTTGTATTGTTCAGAGACAGCATTATTTTTAAAATCGGGGGGACGGAGTAGAGGTTTTCCAAAAGCATATACAAGTTCCTTTGAAAAATCAGAATCACTGTTTTTATCTTCTGACGCACAAGAAAAGGCAGAGTCACGCGTCATCTGGCAAAGGGCCCTTGGCTCCCATTGATGAAAACAGTGGGTGTAACACAGGCCGACCCAGTGAATTACAGGATAAGGGAGGTGGCACAGATTTCTTCCCCAAAGGTGGGAATAAAGGTGGAGAGGAGACAAAGGGGAAACTGGATACTTCTAGAGCCTTCCTTCCCAGGGACGGAGAGTCCGGCACAGAGGTGTTAGGTATCATTGGCGACCTGTCACGGGATCAGGGACTTACTTTGGATTCCTTGTGAGTGGACATTCGGAGGAAGGTGAGAAAAACGCTTCGATGGAGGCGCTTCTGCATGTCAACAACCTCGGGGGCTGGGGCCACCCACTCATCGAACTTTCTGGGGACATAGTGCAGGTAGGAGTCCAGACACTTCTGCAGGGTCTCATCGAAGATGACCTTAGCCAGGCAACAGAGGAGAGCAAGGATTTGTTACCAAGGCCCCAGGGCTTATGGGTGGACTGCTCAGCGGCTCGTAGCTCATCAGCCCTGGCCGGTGGCAAACACTCCAACCCCAAGGGACTAAGGAGGTATGAATGAGCAAGGGCTAAACACAAGTTTCTAAAATGACACACTAGAAGGCATTGCGTAAACATCATTGAGATTGTGATACAAGACAGAGCAATCCAAACCACAATTTGCTGGTAAGGATCCAGTGAGAAAAGTAGAGAAAAAAGCATCTCCTAGGGGGAGAGAAACAACAACAGCAACCAACCAAACGGCATGTCATGTGCTTTGTCTTAGCATTAATTTTGATAGAATGTTACCTGGCACCAGAATTTATCATGAGGCAAGGCCAGGAGCCAGTCGAGGTCATTGGCTACGAAGGTGGCGCGTTCCAGGTACTCCTCCACTAGGGCGGGAATGTTGTCTTTAGGGGGCGGTTTGTATAACACAAAATACCGGTCTGCCTTCTGCTCAGGGTGCTACGGATCCAAAAACCACGTGTTACCGTGGCAGAGGTTAGTCAGCGAGGGCCCACTTGCCAACCCACAGCAATGACAACACTTGGCTGTTCCAACCGGTGACCCTCCAAGGAGCTTTTAAGCATAAAGAACCAAGTGTCTCTAACAAAGGGGCTTGGTTGCATCCAGGGAACATGAGGCGGGCATTAAAAACCATTTGGAGACTATTTAATGACGGGGGAAAGGTTAAGGAAAGAAAAAGCAGAGTACAAACCTCTCTATTTAGTATAATCAGTTTTTGTTTTTGTTTTTGTTTTTAAGTGTAGATAGATAGATATATTTAACACATTCACCCACTGGAACAGGCTAAAAAAGTGTAGGGGAGACAACACTCCAACACTGATAGTGGTTATCTCTGCTGGGGGGGAGGGATTTTGACTTAAATATACTTTCCAATTAAAAAAAAATAAACGTGTATTACTTTAAAAATTATTTTTAATTATACAAGTGAAATGTCTTTTCTTTAAAAAATTTACAACACTACAGAGGTGAGCCGCCGGGACCGTACCCGTCCCCATGCCCTCGTACCCGGTGAGGGCCCTCGCAGACCTTTTCAAGGCATTTACATTCCAGTATACGCATACGAAGTATTTGTTTAGATGTGTTCATCTTTCTCACAACAATAGTATCATTCTGTATGTATCATGCTTTAACCGTTTAATAATAATAAAATACCTCAGTAATTTTTTTAAGAAAGGATGCTGTAATCAAGTAATTGTAGGTGTTGGCTTAAAATCACAAGTTCTCCCTTCCAGCTCCTACCTTGTCGTGAACAAACCTTACTTTGTTCACCGTAAAGAAGAGACGATGAGCTCAGTTTTCTCCTCTGACTACATAAGGGCTGCTTTCTCCAGGGGAAATGGTAATAGGAGGAAGGCCAGGTAACATCTCAGCTGTTATCAACCACGGTCCGCCCGCTTCCAGGTGTGTCAGTCCAGGGGGACAGGAAAATCACGACTGATTGTCAGTCTCCTTGAGAGCCACCTAGGCCTTCCCCTGGCTAATGCAAGTTTTCAAACTGTGGAGTCTGGGTTCCACAAGCATTCCTCGGGGGCCACCCATTGGGTGGGTCTACGGGATCCTTCCCACTTAAATGAGAACTTATACAGTGGGGTTCCAGGTATAAACCTTTTGAAAAAGGAATCCTGCTGACTGAAGCAAGTTCAAAACCACTCTCCAGGGCCTAAATTCATACTCCTTGGTTTCTAAGCTCTACTGCCACTGTGTTGACACCTCACCTCTCAAGTTGCTTACCAAGCCCGGCTACTCACCCATCATCCTCCGTCCTCCGCTCTGAAACAGAAACACACCCCACCACCCCTAGATTCTACGTTCCTTGCAATCCTACAAACTGACGGGCACCCTGCTGTGCCAGGTGTGGTGGGGCCCGAGAAGAGAAGCATCTGCGTGCGCACAGACACCATGCTCCAGAGGGGAAGATGCATATCTAAGCCATCAAGTGAGCATACCACAGAGGAAGGGACAGCTCAAACCTGGCAGAGGGACGGAGGGAGAACAGCAGGGGATTAGCTCTGCCTGGAGGGCAAGGGCCGCCTAGCTTCCCAGAGCCAGCAGCATCCGAGCTGGCCTTGGAGAATAATAATTTTTGAATGAAGAAACTGTGTTTTTTCAGAGGTATAAAAATGGGCCATTAAAAAAGAAGGGACAATTTGCACTGGGTGGTAGGAGATGGATTTGGAGGGACAGAACACTGAAATAATGATAATAAAACCCACCGCTTACGGAGGACCTGCCCCGCACCAGCTGGGAGTAGGTATGTCCCAGGGCCTTTCTTTTTTATCTATGACAACAACTTAAAAGAGAGATCATATTCTTTTTTGCCTTTTTTTTTTTTTTTTCAGAGGAAGAAACAAAGACTCAGCAAGCTTCAGGAACTGCGCCAAGGTCACAGGGCTAAGGAGGCAACTGGGGCAGGATATGAACCAAAGCTTATACTGCAGACCTACTAAATGACCTATGGTATGTCCATGCCATCCTGGTCTCACTGCTAGTCCTTTTGATCCCAGCCCTGACCTCACCTCCCCCAGGAAGTCTCCCCAACTCCTACCCCTGACTAGATGAGAGTTTTACCTGGGCTCCCCCAGCACCTGCACTCTGTGCATCCCTGACTATAGCACTTGAACTGCATCAAAAGTGCTTTCAGATCAGTAGTTACAGTGGATGGGGAGAGAGGAAGGGACAAATTATAAAGGCACAAATAAACTTTTGGTTGAAATGTTCAATATCTTGATCATGGTGATGGCTTCGTGGGTGTATAAAGATGTCAAAACTAATCAAATGGTATACTTTAAATGTGTACAGTTTATTTCTCTTCAATGATACCCTAATAAAGTTATATACAAAGGGAGAGCCCACCTAGTCTGCCTCCCCTGATAGACTGTAGGTCTCTGAAGGGAGTCTGAGCCTCACTCACCACATTCCCAGTCCCTAGAATAGTGCCTGGCATCCAGCAGACTCTCCGTATACATTTGTTGGTTAGGAAAAAGAATGAATAGAAGTATTAGGAGACCAGATACTGCCAAGGTCTTTGAAGAATTCTGAATGCCAAGCTCGAGAGTAGGGACTTCATTTAGTAGGTAATGGGGGCCATGGAAGATTTCAGAGCAGGTAGCAGCAGGCCTCACCCTTTAAACCTGCTCTGGGTCCCCCCATGAAGCCTTCTGAACATTCTCTGCCTATCAAACTTCTGTTTATCTTGATAAGAACCCATTTTGCCCTGTTCTCCAAATGTTTCACTTAAATGAGTCTTGTCTTCCTCAAAAGTTCATTCACCCATTCTGGCCCAAGACTTTATTTATTTTCGATCTTCAATAGCACCCAGTATACATTGTGCACCCAGTAACTACTCAACAAACACTAGCTTCACCCATCACCCTGCAAAGGCAGCACAGTGGCTGACCCTTGGCTAGAGATCCTCTTGTCCCAAGTTCAGACTAAAGAGAAAAATACAGGGCGAGTACAAACCTCAGGACAATCTCCCAGGAGCTTCCAGTGGCCAGCAGGGTAACCCTTTCAGCATGGCTAACAAGACTGCTCCTCCATCAGGCGGCTGTCTCCCTCAGCTCACCCCGCTTGCCATCCTACTCCCAGGGAATGTTTCTGTCACTGTCACTGTTATCATCACCAATATTATTGAGTGCTTACTGTGTCATAAGCATAGTGCTAATCCAGACACCTCATCCAATCCTTGTAGCCACTGCACAAAACTGGTTCCATTATTACCCTTTTTAGATCCCGAAATACGGGGAGGTTGTGTAAGTTGCCCGAAGTCACACAGCCAATTTGAGTGTGAAATTTAACTCAAAGCCTGTGGGATACTGTTTCTACCTCAAGTGACTGGTGGTTGGTATAGGAGTCAGGACCTCAAAAAACGGCATACGTGGGTCCAGGTCCACCCTCTTCCCATTGCTCTCCCTGGCTACTGCTTATTCAACTTTCAATTCCTAGTTCAGGATCCCCCTCCTTCAGAAAGCCTTCCCTGGCTGCACATGCCCTCCCATTACTCCTGAGACCTCCCTGCCTCCACACACCCCTTCAATCTGGATCAGCAGCCCAGAACCTCTGCTCATACAAGGAGCCCGCAGGACTTCCTTCTATCACAACCCTGATTACACTGTAGAGAAGCTACCGGTTTGTTTTCTTCTCAGACCACCGGCTGCTCAAGGGCAGGAATGACGTCTTTTCTCTTTGTAACCCCAGTGCCTGTCACAATGACTGGCTGGGGTCCTTAACTCTTTGAATGAATTCTTTCTGGCACTGGGAAACCAGAATAAAGAGAAGGCACTATGTCCCATCCTCTGGAGCCCTTAGTCTAGCAACCTAGGTGTTCAGTATGAGGGGAAGGACCGAGGTGGAAAATCAGACCCGGCCACTTAAGGAACCAGTACTGTCCAGCAGAACTTTCTGTAATAACAGAACTGTTCTATGCCTGTGTAGGCCACCACTCACCTCATGGGGCTATTTTAATATAAATTAAGTAAAATTAATATAAATACCCAGTTCCCAATTGAATAATCCACATTCAAGTGCTCAATCGTTATATGTGGCAAATGGCTACCATACTGGACAGAACAGTTCTAGATTTTATGATACTTTCCTCCTTGTATAAAAAGGTTATACAAAAAGAAACAAGAGGTTTTATAGCAGAAAGTTTAAGGGTATGAGCTCTTGGGTCAGCCTAGCTGGATTCCCATCTCAATACCCCTAATTTCCTAGTTCTGTGACCTTGAACTTTCTGTTTCCTCATCTGTAAAATGGGAACAACCAAAATACCTACTCATAGGGCTATGGTGCGGCTTAGATGAGATAATCCAGGTGAAGTGTTTGGAAAGGTTTGACCCAGAGTTAGTGCTCTGTGAATGTTAAGTACTATTATTAGAGGGTAGTTAGGAAGTAATAGGGAGCTATCCAGAAAGCAGGAAATAAAACACCAAGCTCTTTTTCCCACAACGTTACTCAAGCCCCCGGAAAATACTCCCTCCCACCTTGTCTGAGTAAGCTCATATTCTTGGGAAAACAGCAAGTGGGTACAGGGACTCCAGTCCCCACGCCTGTCTCCTCCTTCAGCAGCCTGGCACCTCTCCGTGGCTCTAATCTCACTCTGCAGCTGGTAATCGGCATGCTCACAGCCTCCTTGTTTTTCATTCTCACAAGCCCTGCCGAGCCTGTATGTGGCACTTCTTGGCCCAGTGTGATAGAATACCGCCGGACCTCTGAAATCAGTGTTCCCCCCGCAAGTGTGGATAGCAGCTGAGATAGCTCTGACAAAGGCCTACTTGAAACCTGAACACCTCCCGCAGGGTCAAATACCCAAACCCTGCTTTGGGATGGATCCGTTTCTAGGCCAGCTCAGGCTAGTGAGAACTGTCATCAGACTCTGATTCAAAATGAAATGCTTTGAGGGAAGGTGTGGGGTGGTGACATGGAAAATACTACACAAGTTTTAGCTGCTACTTGGAACGGAAACTTCGACATGGGGCCTGGAAGGACCTAGTAGTGTCCCAGCTACTGAATTACTGACTGTGGCCCTGAGGTCATTCTTGGAACAGATAAAGAAGGAATTTACTTTCCACTTTTGAAATTGCAAGAATGATAATATCAGGCTGAACGGCCTCAAGGCACCGGCTCACCAGCGCTGGTGAAGTCCTCAGCTTCCCTGTCTTCAGGTCCTTGTGGGTGATCTGGAGTTGGTCCAGGGGCAGAGCTGGCATTGTGCTGCGTGACCCTCCTAAAAGGAATATGGATGGGAAGAAGAGAGCAGACACATAGGCTCCTGGTGGCAGGGGCCTGCTCTGGGACTGATCCCAGGAGAAGCTGCATCCTCTGGCCCCGGGGCTCCTGATGAGAGCCTCAAAGGCCTGGTTCCTGTGCCCACTTATCCAGACTGACTTTTTTTTTTTAACCTAAAGGAGTTCTCAACCCAGAAGTTCACTCTTCAGCTGACTCCTAATATATCCCCAACCCCTTCAAGAAGTACTGGTTAAAAGTGCCTAGATTATCTTTATTATGGCTCCAGCTCCGTGCCCTTAGGCCTGGGAGCTCTGTGAAGACAGTGCCCAGGCTCTCCTTCTTGTGCTGCCTTTGTGCTACCTTTCCCATGACCAACACAGGCTGGCGGAGAGGTGACCTCATCAAATATGTGATGAACAATTGAATAGGAGGATACTTTTCTTAGATCTCTAACCAGACTTTAAGTCTTTTGAGGGCTGAAGCAGTGGGCCTTTCCTTGCTTGTAGAGTGTGTTAAGATTTTACAGCCTCTCTAGGCATCAGGGGAAAAGGACATGGATGAACAGAGGATGACAGGATTCACGGAAGCTTGCCAGTGCGAGCTCCTTTCTACAGAGACCCAAATCAGCCTCAGAGTCAGTGAGGGGGCAGACCCTACGCCTTCTGTCTTCCCACTCAGTGCTCTTTTCACAATATCACTTGGCCTGGCCCACAGGAGGGCCATGCGTATAGGCTGCATCACAGAATGAAGTGAATTACGCCCTTTAAAAGACATGCCATAAAAGGTAAGTACAGTCCCAATAACAACATGAAGACATAGCAAGGCCGGGATGAGGGAACCATTACCTCCTGAGCCCTCACAGATAAGCTGAGGAGCATGGTCAGCCATGAGTTACATGTATATACTATATACATATAGTATGTGTGTGTATGTGTGTACTGTATGTATGGATCTATATATGTACCTATATAGAGATATAGACACATCTATACACACTATATGAATAGTATACACACACACACTTATCCACACACACACGTGGGTAGCTACATCTCTAACATCAGGCCAGGGCCTGGTGTTTGGAAGACACACTGATAAGGCAGGGTCTCTGCCCTGAGGAAGCTTACATCCAAAAATAATGATGACAATAGCCTCAGGAGCAACATACTTATCATGTGTTGGCAACCGTTCTAAGTGCTTCTCTCAGTATTAACTTCCTTTACACATGTTAACTCACTTTACATGTATTAAAGCTCAGGACAACTCTAGGGTTGGTTCTATTATAATCTCCATTTTACCAAAGAGGAAATAAAGGCTCAGAGAAGATAAGAAACTTGCCTAATGTCTCACAGTTAGTAGTCGGGGAAGGAGGCTGGCTCTTAACCATTCACTGTGCTGAGTGTCCTCTATAGTTGAGCTTGCGGGGATATGGCTCTCAGGAAAACGTTTCTAGAGGACAGCCTAAAGGATCAGGAAAGCCTGAGTTGTCTTGATGGGAGACTGGCGAGGGAAGAAGAGTGCCCCGGGTAGATGAAACAGCAAGAGCAAAACTAAGGAGGTGAGAAGCAGCTTGGCACACGAGGAACCTTGCTTGGCTCATGGGCTGTTTTAAAAGACTATGACGATATCCATCCTAGAGGAATATAAAGAGGGAGGACCAGTCTGTCTAGTCTTAGAGGTCTGTTTCAGCTCCAGAATCTCAGTGAATCACACACATTGTCTCTGCACACGTGAGGTGGCCTAAAGAATCACAAGACAAAATAATAAAAGGGGCTTGGAGTGAGTTTTAATCTTTCAGCTTCACAAAACATTGCTAATGTCCTCTGTTGCATATACATTGTTTCTAACTGAGTTACTGTCTTATGTGCCTCTCATAACAACCCAGCTAAGGATGACAAAGATTATTATGCTCCAATGTCCAAAGAGAGGCTCTGATGTGCTCAGGGCAAATACGTTAGTGGCCAAGATGAAGCTGAAGCTCAGCAATTCTGCCTTGGCACCAGGGTCTCTTGTGCTAACCATATTAGAAAATACTTCTTTCCTAACCCCACCCCTACCCCTGGTGATGCTGGGAGGGCAGGTGGAAACATCAGTGGTCTTCTCACCAGTGCAGAAGTCCAAATGACTCACAGGCCCAGTTCTTTCCGTGTTTACCTTCTAAAGACAGTAGTGAGAATGTCCAGTGTGGGGACCTAGCGTGGGGAAAGAATTGTAGGAAGAGATAGATCTCCACCCTTTAAGTTCTAGGCCCCAGAGTCAGGGCTTAGACAGGTAATGACAGCACCTACTTTCAGAAAAAATCCACTCCTACAAGCCAGTACCTGTAAGGGCAGTTCAGGCCCAAGCTGGTGTGGTAGTTGAAAGACAGCTTTATAGTTCTATAGCCTGGGTTCAAACACTGGCTCTACGTTCTTCTATCTATGTTGAGACCTTGAGATAGTTCCTTAACCTCTCTAAACTTTGACTTCCTCATCTGTAAAACTGGGATGATAGTAGTACATAATCCCTCAGGGCTGATGTGGGAAGTAATCAACACTAAGTGTTCAACACAGGACTTGATACATAATAAGCACTCAATAGAGTTTACTTGTTATCATTCAAGTCCCAAAAATAGGCAGAGCTTCCTCACTTACTCAGCAAACACTGAATACTTTCTGGGTCCTGGGCAAGTAAATGACTATCACTTGATATGATTAGAGCTATAACAGGAAATTTCCAAAACAAGCACAGCAGAGAAAGGGACAGTGTCACAGAGAAAATGACCTATAACATGGTTGTTGCAGGAGAGTAGAAGAAGATGAGAAGGAAGGGCCTTCCAAGCAAAGAGCAAGCATGAGCAAAGCTCAGAGCCTGAGGAATACATTAGTATAGTTGAAAATACAAGGTCAGGGAGTGGAAGACAGAAGTAGAGAGATGTTGGATAGGAAAGATGGGGCCAGTTTTTAAAATTATTTATTTATATTTTATTTATTTACTTTTAGAGAGAGGGGAAGGGACAGAGAAAGAGAGGGAGAGAAATATCAACGTGTGGTTTCCTCTCACATGGCCCCCACTGGGGACCTGGCCTGCAACCCAGGCATGTGCCTTGACTGGGAACCAGCGACCCTTTGGTTCACAGGCCTGCGCTCAATCCACTGAGCTACACCAGCTAGGGTGGGGCCCATTTTTAAAAAAAGCCTTGCATGCTATGCTAAAGATTTTGGCCTTTCACCTGAAGGCAGTGAGGAGCCACTTAAGTAGAAGAGAGTCATGACAGGAAGAGAAGACAATAGCTTGGTGGCAAGAGAGACCTTGTAGGAACCACTGGAGAGCAGACTATGTTAATCACCTCACTTATCCACTCAGATACTTCTGAGCACCTCTTATCCAGGCAGTGAAGCCCAGAAAATACTAAAATGCGCAAATAACAGACCTGGTCCTTCCCTCCATAGAACTTACAGTTTTTAAGGGAAAGACAGCTATGAATCAAATAGCCACACAACAAGTAAAACTCAACACCATAATGTACCATATGTTATGTCGGTAAGGCCCTTGGAGCTATGACAGAGAGGACTGACTTGACAAAGGAAGGTTGTCAAGGAAGATAGGAGTCTTCATCCAAGGTATGGGCAGAAATTAACTAGACAGAGAACAAACTTTAAGTTCCGAAAGGGTAAGTTAAGGACAATGATCATGACAATGTCTGTTCCTACCACTGCAACCCCAGGGACATGCAGGGCAGCAAAGCGGAAAGTTAGGAAAAGGCTTTCTTTAGAAGGGGAGCTGAGGGCAATCATCAATTACAATAAGGCCTGTGCACATCCCCAGGGCTACTGCTGCCTCAGTTTCTCTGGCTGTTATCACCCTTCTGGTCTCCATATTACTCTCCTCGGAGACTTTACCAGACCGTCCTACCTAAAGTATTCACTACCCCAGTTACTGTCATATCTTTAATTATCTTGGGCATTTATTTTTCATTGACTGACTCCTCCCACTAGTCTGTACACTCCATGAGGGCAGGAGACTTGTCTGTCTTGTTCCCAGTGCCCGGCACGAAGGAGAAGTTAGATACATGTTTGTTGTACTAATGAATGAGCCCCGAGGAAACTGAAGGATTCACGGTCCTCTCACCTCAGGATGAGAGTGCGGGGACTGTGACTAGTTCAGGTCACTCTGGGGCCGAGCCTCAAACCCAAAACTTCTGGCCTCTTATGGGTATGGGGGAGACTCAGACCCCTAGGGCTGCAGAGCCTTGGCCCTGTCGTGGAGGCAGAGAGTCCCAAGGCTGTTTGAGGCACGGCTGCGGCTTCTCCCAGGTCCAGTGCCCCGCATCCGGTAGGGCCCAGCGACACACTCACCTCGGCGGCTCTACTACCGGCGAAGTGCCGCGGCCGCAGCCGCCGCGGTCCACGGTGACAGCGTCCAGAGAGCCAGCACTTCCGGGGTCAAACAGTGATTCCGCAGGCACTGACAGGAAGCCTTGGTCCGGCCCGCCCCCCAACCCCCAACTGCCGCCTAGAAGCTGGGCTGGGGGCCACGCCCCTAGCCCTAAGACTCCGCCCCCACAAGGAACCCGCCTGACTGTAGCCACGCCCCCGTCCCCTTCTGTCTCCATGCTTTCAGCAGAGTGGATGGAAGGTAAGTCGAGAACAGGTTGTGATTCGGTCTCTTGGAATAATCCCAGTATAATACTCGGCTTTTCCGAATCTCAGTCTTCCACCTCCTTCCTAACCTTCTCAATCATAGTTTTACCAATTTAATCCAGAAGAATGTTAACAAGTCAAAAGTATAAACATGATACTGAGCAAGAGAAAGCGGACAAAGTAGTACAGGTTTGTAGGAAGTTCCAGAGCAGGAAAAGCTAATGAGTAGTGATGGGGTAAGGGTGATGGTTACCTTTGGGTCTGGTGAATGGTGGTGGAAACACAAGTGGGGAGAGTCCCTGTCCTCAACTTGGGGTAGTAATATAGATGTTTCTCATTAGAAAAGTCATCAAATTATGTGAATTGTGTGTTTTTTTCTGTGTGTATGCAATACAAAAAGATTTTTTTTTTAAATCAGGGAGGCTATGTATATAACTGTCTTAAGAACAGAATGAATTTTTTCCACAGACTGTTTCAAGTGGTGTAGCCTGGCTGTGAATCAGAATCACCACAGAAAGCTAGTTAAAAATACACATCTCTGGCTTCATCTCAGTGCCTGGCACACAGTAAGGATTTAAAAGCCACCACCATCATTATCACGAGGGTGTTATGGAAACCTTTAATGGGGCACACAACCCAGCCCTAGGGGGTCATGAAATATTATTCAGCACCCTCCTAGTGCCAGGGCCTGCTGTCTGCACTAGGGCTACAAGGAATGACAAGCACAAAGCCTCAAGGAGCTTACAAGACAAGAAAACCAATAGCTATGAGGCAATGAGATAAATGCAGGATGCTGAGGAATCAGGGGAGATGGGCTCTGAATCAGAAATGAAGTTGGATCCTATATGAGTTATGTATTGCTGCCTAACAGATTACCACAGACTTTGCAGCTTATAACAATACACATTTATTACCTCACATTTTCTGTGTGTCAGGAATCTGGGCATGGCTTAGCTGGCTGCTCTGCATCAGGGTGCCCCACGAGGCTGCAACTGAGGTGTCACCCAGGGCTGGAGTCTCATCTGAGGGCTCAGTTGACAAACATCTGCTTCCAAGCTCATGTGACTGTTACACAAATTCAGTTCTTCAGGGTTATTTGACTGAGGGCCTCCGTTCCTAGCTGGACTTTGGCCAAAGGCTGCCCTCAGCTTTTCACATGGGCTTCTCCAATATGGCAGCCTGCTTCATCAAAGCATGCCAGCTGAGTAGGCAATAGGGAGAGTCTGCTAATGGCACAGAAGTCACAATCTCATGTATCCTAATCATGAAAGTGGGATCATCTCACCATGTTCTTATTTGTTATAAGCAAATCACAGGTCTTGCCCACATCGTGCAGAGGGGACTTACACAAGGCCATGAATTCCAGGAGGTGGCAATCTCTGGGGGATGTCTGAGAATCTGCTTACCACAGATACTTAGGGAATGCCCATCAACCCCAGGACTTCAACAGAGGAAGTAGGGGTACAGAGAGATACAGCCCAATCATGATAGTAATGACTACATTTGTCAGGCCTTCACTCCATTCCAGGGACTGGAAAAAATATATTATATGTATTATCTCCTTGACCCTGTAGAAGCTTTATAGAGGTACAAACTATTATTGTTCCATTCTATAGTGAGGTTTAGAGACTAGACCAGGGTCACAGAGCTTGTGAGTAGGTAGTGTGGGGATTTGAATGCAGCTCTGTCTGACTCCAGAGTTTGGCCTCATAACCTGCATGTCAAGGGTCTGCCCGTTCTCCATGAGACAGGTTTGGGAGTCCCAAGTGTAGGAAGAATTCTGTAGCCAAATGCTGTAAGCTGTCTCAGAACAATGACTACTTCCCTTTATTGCTGTCGTTTTTCAGAGAAACCTGGTCATCCAATGACATGGAAGGAACAGAAAAGCACCAGAAACTCTAACTCACTCTCTCTCTCTCTCTCTCTCTTTTACTCTGGCACTGTACACATTGGGCGCACAGAAAAGATAATCTGCATCTTGGTGATTGATTGGAAGGAAATTATATGTAGCAGCCGTTGGTATAGAGAAAACTTAAAATAGGACTCTGACAAAAATGTATGGATCAGTTTTGTCTTCCCTATGGTATCAATATCACAGGTTTTGGAGCTAAATAACACGACTGCAAAAAAAAAAATCTACCTTCTTCAAACACGTCTCAGTTTCCTCACCTGTTAAAAGGGGTCATTAATACCTACTTCATCATCATTACGAGGCTTAATGAGAGAGCATAGACAATGCCATGCCCATAGTAGGTGCTTAAGAAATTTTGGTGGAGAGGAGGAAGGAAGGAAGGAAGAAAGAAGGGAGGAAGAAGGGAGAGAGGAAGGGGACTTCCTGTTAGTTGTAGTATTAACTCATATCTCTTTCATTTTTGTTTTCTTTCCTTTGCCCAAAGAGATTAATGAGGAATGTGAACTTCCAAAGGAGGCATCATTGTCTGAGCTAACGTATGTCCAACTGGAATTAAATTAAAAAGCCACTTTAATAGGAGAAGCCTGAAACCATACATTAGTCACAAGTATGGAGGAATTTCTGGGCCTCTATTCTCTACATTAAAACAACAACAACAACAACTAACTTGCTTAAAGAGCAAATACACTTGTGTTGGCAAAGTAGGCAAGTGTCGGTGGTGCTCATAACCAGTCAAGTCTAGGGATAATTAGGGAGAAAAACTGTCAATAGTTGGAGTTCAGAAATCTGCCTAGGAATATGTGGGCCTGAGTCCTCCCTGGCCCAGATGCTCTGAGTCACCTAAAATGAATCAGTACTACCTTTGTTTTTAAATCCTCCAGGAAGTGTGTGTGCATGGGGCAGCCATTGGTTTCCCCACTAATGGCAACTTGATTACTCCTTAGAGAACCATTCCTTCTCCTGCAGTCCACTTGGAGTAGGATTGACCCCTTAACCAGAGTTGAGGCATATGCAATTGTATTAGTAATCTACTTCTGTGCAACAAATTACCCCAAAACTCAGTGGTTTAAAACAATGCCATGCACATAGTACGTGCTCGAGAAATTTTAGAAAAGAGGAAGGAAGGGAGGGAGGGATGGGAAGAGGAAGAATACTCTCTATCAATTGGAGGGTTAACTCTTATATTTCTTTCATCTGTTTTTTTCTCTCCTTTGCCTGAAGAGATTAATGAGGAATGTGACCTTCTAAAGGAGACACTCTTGTCTGAGCTAACATATGTCCAACTGAAGCTAAATTAAAAAGCCACTATAGGTATTAATCATTTATTATCACACATGGTTTCTGTGGGTTAAGTATGAAAAGAAAAAAACAGTTGTTGAAGGATGAGACTTCAGCTTTGTCCTATTGCACCGTTACATGTGTTCTTTGTCTGCAGGCTTCCCTCAGTTCTAGGGGAGTCTTGTGTGCTGAGTGCATTGGCTCAGACAGTGGCCTCGCCACTTCTGGCTCCTTAGAGCCACAAAGACCAACAGCAGATCTCTCCAGGCACTGGGACTGAGGGGCTTCTGCTGTTGTTTTCCATGGTGGATTTTGTGTTTTGTGTCTTGATAATGTATTACTGGAGAAAAATTGCATATTTTAAAAAGTAAAAAGTAAAGTAAAGTAAGTAAAAAGTAAAGTAAAAAGATGGGGGCTGCTTAAATATCCCCACAAAATGGCCCCTGGCTTCAGAGAGAGGAATCCAAGAGATCAAAGCAGAAACAGAATGCCTCCATGAGTAGCTTTGGTTTCATGTGGGAGGGTATTGTACAAGACCATGAATATCAGAAGACAAGATCATTGGGGTCCATCTTAGAAGCTGGCTACCTCATCAATCTAAGATGAGCCTTGCCAGTTGGCATACTCCAAACCCTCAGCCATGGTAATTGGCTCAAAAATAGATAAATGATTCAAAATTATCCAACAATAACTAATTCTGGGATCTCTAGCACTAGGAATGAACTAAGCTTGGATATTGAACTAAGCCTGCCAGAGGCCACTACCTGGAACCTGAGAATGAAGCCAAAAAAAAAAAAAACGTTGGGGGAGGACTTCCAGCCAAGATGGAGGTGTAGATAGACACACTGTGCCTCCTTGCACAACCAAAAGAAGGACAACAACAATTTAAAGACAAAAAAACCCCCAACCAGAACCAACAGAAAGTTGAACTGTATGGAAGTCCAACAACCAAGAGTTAAAGAAGAAACACCCATCCAGACTAGTAGGAGGGGCAGAAATGGGCAGCGGGGCAGAGAGGACTTGAAGCAAAGCTGCAGCTGACGGACCCAGTGAGGCAGCAACTGGTGGAGTGGGCTGTCTCACATTCACACGCAGATAAACCGGGAGGAACAGCTGGGGAGCCAGACAGCACAACCCAGGGACCCAGTATGGAGAAATAAAGCCTCAAACCTCTGACTGAAAACACCTGTGGGCATTGAGGCGGCAACAGGAGAAACTCCAAACCTCACAGGAGAGGTCGTTGGAGAGGCCCACAAGGTATTAGAATGTACACAAGCCCACCCACATGGGAATCAGCACCAGAAGGGCCCAGTTAGCTTGTGGGTAGCAGGGGAAGTGACTGGAAACTGGCAGAGAGCAGAGCAAGTGCCAATGTTCCAACTCAGACCCCTCCTCAACATACAGCATCACAATGCTAGGACAGGGTTACCCCACCCTGGTGAACACCTAAGGCTCTGCCCCTTAGTACTTAACAGGCACTCTGAGAAAAAAAAAAATGGCCCAAATGAAAGAACAGATCAAAGCTCCAGAAAAAATACAACTAAGAGATGAAGAAATAGCCATCCTATCAGATACACAGTTCAAAACATTGGTTATCAGGATGCTCACAGAACTGGTTGAATTTGGTCACAAGTTAGATGAAAAAAATGAAGGCTATGCTAAGTGAAATAAAGGAAAATGTACAAGGAACCAATAGTGATGGGATAGAAACTGGGACTCAAATCAACAGTGTGGACTAGAAGGAAGAAAGAAACATTCAACCAGAACAGAATGAAGAAACAAGAATTCAAAGAAATGAGGAGAGGCTTAGGAACCTCCAAAAGATCTTTAAATGTTCCAACATCCGAATTATAGGGGTACCAGAAAGAGAAGAGGAAGAGCAACAAATTGAAAACTTATTTGAACAAATAATGAAGGAGAACTTCTCCAATCTGGCAGAGGAAATAGACTTCCAGGATATCCAGGAAGCTCAGAGAGTCCCAAAGAAGTTGGACCCAAGGAAGCACACACCATAATTACATTATAAAGCACATCTAATTACATTACCCAAGATTAAAGATAAGGAGAGAATCTTAAAATCAGCAAGAAAAAAGGAGACAGTTACCTACAAAGGAGTTTCCATCAGACTGTCAGCTGATTTCTCAAAAGAGAACTTGCAGGCAAGAAGGGGCTGGAAAGTATTCCAAGTCATGAAAGGCAAGGACCTACATCCAAGATTAATCTATCCAGGAAAGCTTTCATTCAGAATGGAAGGACAGATAAAGTGCTTGTCAGATAAGATCAAGTTAAAGGAGTTCATCATCACCAAGCCCTTATTACATGAAATGCTAAAGGGATTTATCTAAGAAAAAGAAGATAAAAATATGAACAGTAAAATGACAGCAAACTCATAGTTAATAACAACCATACCTGAAACAAAAACAAAAGCAAACTAAGCAAACAATTAAAATAGGAACAGAATCAGAAATGGAAATCATCTGGAGGGTTAGCAACAGGGGAGTGGGAGAAGGAGAGAGGGGGAAAAGGTACAGAATAAGTGGCATAAATGGTATGTAGAAAATAGACAGGGGGAGGTTAAGAATAGTATAGGAAATGTAGAAGCCAAAGAACTTATATGTATGACCCATGGACATGAGCTAAAGTGGGAGGGAATGTGGGTGGGAAGGAGTGTGCAGGGCAGAGGGGAATAAAGGGGGGGGGAATGGGACAACTGTAATAGCATAATCAGTAAAATGTATTTTTTAAAAAAGGAAAACAGCTAATAAAAAGTGAGAAGCAGGAGAGAATGAAAGAGTAAGACATCATTTGATCCCTGGGTCTAGGTGCACTGGAGTCCAGAGATCCCTAGACTTTTCTAGTTTTGTCTAAGCCATTTTGCGTTGAGCTTCTGTCCTTACACAGCTTCTAGATGCTGAGTCCTTCTCATGCCTAGCTGACCAGAAACCACTGGGACAAGAGGGATAAGGTTGCTAACTGTTCAAACTGGCATTACAAGTCACTACATAGTGATGACAAGAAGTCAGTTTATGGGTTGGCCAAATTATGCCTTGGGTATCCAACAACTGCTATTCTTTAGCTAGACCGAGGGTGTTTAAGAGAGATATATGGTGAAGCCATATACTACATAGATTGGGTGTAGAGTCTGGAGACGTGGGTATCAGTTCCAGTTATACCTCCTATTCACTGGCCAGCCTTGGACAATCACCTTAGCTTTTCTGAGTTTCCATTTCTTTCTCTGCATAATGGGAATAGTAATACTTGTTTAACCTACTATGTTCACTCAGCAAACATTTATAAAGGACTTACTATGTGGCGAGTACTGTCAATAAAACAACAAAATACATAGTTTTAGGCTTCAGAGTTTTTCATAGTCTTTGTCAGAAATATGAATAAAATATGAATTACAACATGGTTTGAGATAGATGTATATGGTGTGATAGACATACGGGTATTTAGAGGTCATAAGGGAGAAAGAGTCTCAGGTGGTAGGATCTGCAAGGACTTTCTGAAGAGAATGCTATTTAGTCTGAGTTTTCAGGAGATGTGGGAACTGACAGGTTGGAAGAGCATCACAGAGAAAGAGCACAGCCTGGAAAAGACCTAAAGGTGTCAAAGAGGATAGACAATTTCAGAAATTGTATGTACACTTGTATAGCTTAAGTCTTGGGCTTTGAGGCTATCTTGAGCAGAGGCCAGATTATGAAGCTTTGTGGACCAGGTTAAGGACTTTGGACTTTCTCCTGTTGATGGTGGGGAAGGCCCTGGAAGTTCTGAATAGAACCAAGGAATTTTAGAAAGGTATTTTATAAAGACAACTCCAGTAGGCATGGGGATGGAGAGGATGAATGGTAGCAAGAACAGAGGTAGGCCTGTACTTCAACAATCTACTGCTACATGACAAATTACCCCCCAAATTAGTGGCTTACAAAGATACTATACTATTTATGATTCTGTGAATTGACTAGGCTTAGTTCTTCTGCTCCATGGGGTGTCAGCTAGAGCTATCATTAGGTTACATTCAATCAGGTGTTCAACTGAGGCTAGAATGGCCAGGACAACTTCACTCATATGTCTGACTTCTGAGCTGGGGTAGCCGGAATAGCGGGTGGCTGGTTGGGCCTCTTACCACATGGTCCCTCATCCCTCAGTAGTCTAGTGCACTGGTTCTCAAGCAAGAGTGATTTTCTCCCACAGGGGACATATGGCAATATCTGGAGACACTTTTGGTTGTTACAACTAGAGCATCTAGGGGGTAGAGACCAGTGATGCTGTTAAACATTCTACAACACACCAGAGAGCCCACCAGCACAAGGAATTATCTGACCCAAAATGTCAATAGTGCCAAGGCTGAGAAACCTTGGTCTTAGCCCAAGCTCTTGTACATGGTGGGCTGACCCCATGAGGGTAAAAGTAAAAGCTGTCAGATCTTTTGAGGCCATGGGATCTGGGACTCAGACAACATCACATCCTTCACACTCTATTGGTTGAAGCAAGTTATAGGCCAGCTCTGATTCAAGAGGAGAGGAATTAACTCCTTCATTCATGGTCAACCACTGATCTACTTTCTATCTCTACAGATTGTTGGTGGCCACTTCTATAGGCAATCTACCGTAGGCAGGGAGACTATGCAGTGAGGGGCCTTATATGGGGGACGATAGTGATTTGAGCTCAGGTAGAAGCAAAGTATCTTTCTGAGAAAATGAAATAACAGCACTGAAATCTCTTTGCAAAGTGTTGCATACAAATACTAATTTCATAATCCACACTGTCCCCAGCCAGGAAATGCTGTCTCCAGCAGCTTTCTGTTAAGCCCGGCTTTCTCTCAATAGGTCTCTGCTCTGTGTCTGTCCAATCCCACTGCCCTCTGTCAAGTTCATCAAAGCTTCTGCTGACTCAAGAAGAATCTAGAGAATGATCACTGCAGTGAAAATCTCAAATCATCCCCCGGGGCCCCTAATAACAAAACATCTGCTTGTCATTCTTCCTTACCCCTCTGGGTTTCAGTGAGAAAACAGCATTAAATGATGATAATGAGAACTTAAAAACTAAGTTCCCTGGCTTCCAAGAAGGGAGGCTTAATTTGAAGGCAGCTAATTATCCACTCATTATAATTTACACTGAGTGGTTAGTTGTCTTGCCTGCTGTCACTGGTCTGTGAACAATTGTCGGAAAGATGAAAAAAAATGTCTAAGCTAACACATCTTAGAAAGCAGAGGGTAGAGAATCCCCTTGTCAAAGAAAGAATCTTCTCGAACATGTGGTCCAAACCTCTCGTTTTACAGATGACAGAACTGAGACCCAGAGAGGAGACAGAACTTGCCCAGAGTCGCCCAGCAACTGGTAGGTGGCAGAATGGGCACTGGAACTGAAGTCTTTGTGCTGGCTCCAGCCTAAAACCCCGCCCAGGAGATGAAAGGGTAGGTCTGTCTGCCCCATGCAGCGAAGAGACTATACTCAGACCACCCATCAAAGTGGCAATTGGCACGTCCAAGCCTCCCGATAATCATCAGTGTGGGATGGCGGAGCCACAGAACCAGTAGGTGGAATAATTCCTCAAGGGCTGGGGCACAGCTTAAACCGCAGAGGGGGTTGGGGCAGGAAGATTGCTTCACTTGGATATTGAACATTTTTATTTGGTAGCATTATGTACTTTTCATGCAGAATCAGAGAGGAAGGATTTTCAAAAGGCACCTCCAGCTATTCTGGTGATGGAAAAGGTTGGTACTTGATGTTTTTAACTATTAAAATATTTTGGTTTGCAATGTAGTGGAATCGTGCCAGTTCTTTAGCTTTTCTTCAGAGAGCATAGGAAGAAGCTACTGGAAGATATGTCTTGACCATCATGAAAAGAGGGGAACCTAGCCTTCCCATGTTTCTAGTTCTTTACTCCCCAGGCCACACAGTACCCAGAGGACTCCAGAATGTAGCTTCTCTGTCTTTATAATTTCCTTTTAAAAATTAATTAATCAATTAATTAATTAATTAATTAATTTATTTTGGACAGAGGGGAAGAGAGGGATAAAAACATCGATGCAATAGAGAAACATGGATTAGTTGTCTCATACGTGCCCCTAGCAGGGACCAAACTAGCAACCTAAGCATACATACACCCTGAATGGGAATCGAACCAGTAACCTTTTACTTTGCGGGACAATACCCAACCAACTGAGCCAAACCAGCTAGGGCTGACTTTCTAATTTCTTTTTTTTTTCTTAAGATTTTATTTATTTATTTTTTAGAGAGGGAAGGGAGGGAGGGAGAGAGAGAGAGAGAGAGAGAGACATCAATGTGCGGTTGCTGGGGGTCATGGCCTGCAACCCATGCATGTACCCTGACTGGGAATCCAATCCAAAGTGTCATCCAACCTGTGACACTTTGGTTCACAGCCTGCGCTCAATCCACTGAGCTACGCCAGTCAGGGCTTGACGTTCTAATTTCTTAAGTGCCCTGGCCCCCTTCACACTTCAGGGCACTAGGCCATGGTGCTTCCTCTGTCTGAAATGCCCCTATGCTCCCCTTATTAAGGTAAAGCCTTTTCTTCATCTCTTCTTTCTCCAGGTTATTGTCATTCCCCTGATATACACAGTCTTAGCTAGCTCCCTACACTTCCCTGTGTAGCGCTGGTCACAGTTCATCATCTTCCTTTTTGCATATGATTAATCAATGACTACCTCCTTCATTAGACTCTGCATTCTGACTAGTTAGGAACCTCATATGTTTTGTTCATCAACCTTATCTCCAGTTCTTAGCTTGGTACTTGGCACCTAATAGGGTGTAATAAATATTTGCTGAAGGAATGATTGAATCAAAGTGCCAAGCTTATCTAGACACCCTCTTACAATTGCAAGTAAGGAAACCATCAGAGTTAGGCAGTGACTCGCCCAGGGTCATATGTAGGCATCTAATAGCTCCTGCTAATTATTCACATCCTTGAAATACCTTACCACCTAGGACAGGGTCATTTCAATGCAAAGCTGAGGGACTCCATTGTTTTTCATTCCTTGGACAGTTGTAGTCCCTCTTCTTAACAAAAGGCTCCCCATGGAGCAGGAACTCTAAACCTTGGCCCATTAAGTGGCTCCCAGGATCTATGGACCCCTTGAATTGTACACAGATATATTGGGGAGCATTTTTCAGTAGAGAGGCTGCAAGGCTCTCTCCTGATCCTCAAAAGAGCTATATGCCCAAAATGCTAAGCACCATTCACACCAGATCTCTGCTGAATCTCTTCTTTCCTTTTAGCTAGAAAAGCCACTCTATGTCCCAAGAATCTTTGGTAACAGACACAATGCTTAGTGTGAGGCTGTTGGTCAGCAATGGTCAGGGCCAAGTGGCTAACACATGGGATCAGAGGGAAATGTTTTTTCAGCTTCAGTTGGTTAGGGTTATCAGAGAAAGCTTCCTGGAATAGGTGCCAATTAAGCTGTCTGTAATGAACTGTGAAGGTTAGTGAGGTTGGAAGTGAGGTGGGGAGGGAGATAGGGTTCTGAATTCCCTTCTGGAAGCCCCAATGTCCCCATCATCTCTTTGTGTCCCAAAGGAGGGCTTGTTTAAACTGTTTATATCAGGGTCATTTTGGTCCAGACACCAGCCTGACTGTAGAGTTTCTTTTTCCCTCTCTCTTTAGAAGGCAATGTGGACTGTTTTGTGATGCCAGCGGCCCTTTGTCCCCTCTGTTGAATTATTCATCCTGTGAGATGAATTATTAATTTTAATTTTGTGTAGCAAATGCCAGGCAAACAGGTAGAAATGGAGCTGGTACTCTGGGCATGGAGCCACAGGCCTCCCCAGGTTCCCTGAAGCACAAGCTATCAGGGCCAAGAAATTATGCAAGAATCTGCAAGGGGCTCACCCTGGAATGCATTTAATTGAGGGTGAAGTTGGCCCAAGTGCCCCTGAAATGACTGGGCTCCATTCTCCTCCGGCTCTCAGGCCCCTTCCTCTCCTGGCACTCCTGGCTGGCTCCGGTGCTGGGCTGCATTGCATGTCCAGAGTGGGTTCAGCTGCATTCATCAGAGGGACTTGAGTTTGATTCAAAGCCTAGACTCCTAGGGGCCCTGGGTTAGTTAAGCAGGGTTTCTCAACCTCAGCACAACTGACATTTTGGCCAAGATAATTCTTTGTTGGGGGCAATCCTGTGCATGTAGGATATTCAACAGCATTCCTAGCTTCTACCTACCACATGCCAGTAGCACAAGGTCTCTAGACATTGTCAAGTGTCCCCTGTGGGACAAAATTGCTCTCACTTGACAGCCAGTAGGTTAGTTCTTTTACTTCTTCAAGTCTTTTTTTCTTTTCCTCATCTGTGAAGTGGGGATCAGAGTAGTAATTACCAGGGTGAGATGATGATCAAATGAGATCACATATGCGCAGTCTCAGCTTGTTTGGAGTGTCTCTACCCTGGGCCTTCTGTTATATGAACTTATATTTCTCTTTTATGCCTACGTCCAGGTCTCAGTTAGGATTGCGTTCAGCGGCAGGTAACAGAAGATGCACCTTAATCTGACTTGGACAATGAAGAGAAGTGATTGGTTCACATAACTGGAGACCCAGAAGTAGGTTAAGCTTTAGGTTCTGTTGATTCAACAACTCACCCATGTCCTCATCCTCAGGGACCAGTTCTTTCTGTCTTTTTGCTCTACTATATACAGTGAGGGCTTCTACTGAGCTTGGTTCACTTCAGGGTCCTAGGATGACTCCTGCAGCAATTGATACCATGAGCCTCCTTATTCACTTCAATGCCAAAAAAGAAGATATCTGTTCCTACAGTATAAACTGTAGTCCTGAAAGTCAGCCTGGCTGGGCCACTTAGGTCACAAACTCACTCTGAAATCACCATCTACATCTAGTGGGGTGGGTGTGTCAGTTGGTTTAAGTCCTCCAGGTCCCATGCTGTCAGTTTGGGATGGAATCAGCTCTCCCAGTGTATGGCTGTGTAACTACCCAAATGAAGATCTCAGCACCAACAGGATCCACTGACTATTCCTGCACCAATCACTTTAGCTGGAGGGGAAGAACAGACTGATTGATTGAATGAAACTGGGACTTGACCTACCCTTGGAATTGAAAACATGGGGAGGTGGGCAGGTCAGTCTCACCCAACTACAAGGACTGACAATGGTGGTGGTGGTGGGGGCCTTGGCTTCCCAATCCCAAAATAGAGATGCTGCTACCAGAAAAAGTGGAATGGATTCTGGGCAGGCAAGAACTTGAGGTGTCCATTGAATGAGGTCAAGAGAGAGCCATGACTGGGGGTAGGGATGTGGTAGTATACCTGTAGAATGAGTTGAACACCTGTGTGTAGCGCTTCAGGTCCTCTTGGGCTCACCTTTTATTCCACCAGTGATACGTGCTCTTAGGTGCAACCTGACAATGACTCACCTCTCTCACTTTTGACACCAGGGCAGGGCACCTGTCGGGTTCAATATTTGTACCATGTGCAACCTGGAAGTGCAAGATGTTAATACCCCATGAGGCAAACCTTGACCAACGGGAATAGAAGCTGATGACTAAATGCTTCCCCCTTTATTCCTCAGAGTGGCTGCTTCCAAGATATACTTTTCGAGGCACCTCAGAAGATCCTGAGGAACTGAGCCCCCAGTCACCCATACTAGGGCCCCTCATGGCCCACCCTTATTCTGGCTCTTTCTCCTTGCCTGTCCTTCACTCCTGCTTCCTGGGGTGACTTCCTAAATAAACTATCAATGAGCCTGTATCTCAGACCCTGCTTTTGGGGGAACCCCAGATAGGTCATAGATTTTTAGCTAGTCTGAGATTTACACGTAAGTCTTTATACTTTTTAGACAACATGTGAAAAATTTTAACAAGTAAGTTTTGTGCCTTTAAATTTTCCTTCTGCCTGCCGATCAGGGGTGTTTTCAACCAGTTCCAAAGACACCATATTCACAGTTTGAAAGTCAAGACTCTTGAAACACAGTGTGCCTCGGGCCTTTCCCGGCAGGAGGCAGCGGCCTGCCAGCTGCTGTGCCCTGGGTGGGCAGGCGGGCAGGCAGCAAGAGCGTCCCAAGATGAACCTCTACCTGGGGAAGCTGTCAGGAGCTGACTGCAGACCTTGAGAACCTTATCAAGACATCACCAGACAAACCGGGAAGGCTGCCCTGACTCCAGCCGAACCCCTGTGATTCTGACTGATGTGTCAGGAAACTGACATGTCCCCAACTCCACTCAGGCATCAAGTGCTTGCTTGGGGTGGCCTGCCAGTGTCACGGCACAAAGCAGCCTTTGCGGAGATAGTGAGAAGGGGCTGGAGAATGGACTGTCTCCCTTTCTCTAGCGGCCTTGTCTCTCTCCCACTGGCTACAGACGTATGTTACAATGTGTCTCTGCTTCCTGCACCCCTGGGCTCAGTTTTCTCTACCAGTGCCCACTGACAATCCCTGACACTGTTCAGATGAATGCCTCCTTTTCTCAACCCTCTGGCCGCTGCCCATCCACCTACTGTGCCCCCCTCCTGGTAGGGCCCTCAGCCACCTCTCCTGGGCTCAGGCCTTGCTGGTGGATGCCAATGAAGCCAGCAGCCCAATACATTTGCCTTTTGACAATCCTCTAGCTCCCTAACAGAAAACCACAGCAGTGCCCTAAGGCCACAGAGGAAGTCAAGTTTATACATATATGGCACTACATCAGCTAGTGGTCAGGCTTACCAGGAGAATTGGGGGCAGGATTGCTTGGTTAACCGAATAGCTCTAATCTGACTGTGTCACTCCTCAGCTTCATATTTTTCAATGGCACCCCCATGGCAGTTGCCTGTGTGGGGTATTCAAGCCTCTCAACCTTGTCTCGTCTTGTGCCACACCTCCTACCACTGAGCCTACTATAACTCTATGACCATCCCCCACTCCCTCCAGCTCCCATGCCTATGCCCTGACTGGTCCCACTGCATAGGATGTACTTCCTACTCTTGTTCCCCTATTACCTGACTTACTTTGAATCATTTTTCAGCTCTCAGCTGACTGACACCTCCTCCAGGAAGCCTTTCTTACATTTCCAAACTAAGTGAAGTTCCTCCTGTAAGCTCCCAAATTACCTAAAATAAACCTTAGCATGTTGCCTGGTACCTACATTTATGTGTTTGTCTTCTGCAGCAGACAGTAAATTCCTGGACATTCAGGAATTTTATACCTAGTTTACCATCATTCACTCAGGGCCAAGCACTGAACCTGACACAGAGAAGGTACTCAGTAGGTGTTTGTTGAATAAAAATTAGACTTCAAAGTGTCTAATAACTTGAGCTCAGGATTTATTCAGAGAAAATAGAGTCTTAGGTTTTATGTAATAACTAAAAGTAAAAAAATAATTTGTGCATTAATATGGGTATTATCAAGTTATGTGCATTATCAAATATATTTCTATAGATAAATATTTTAAAACTCAAATAGCCACAGTTTTTTAAAATACTGTTAAAAACAGAACAAAAATAAATAGGCAACAACCTAACAACATACACATTGTGTTTTCCTCCAGTCCTTGCTTCTGGGCAAGGCAAACTGAGTTCCCCAGTCACAATGCGTGCTATTTCTACCCTTGCACTTAACATCACAGTATCAACATTTTTTTCATCTTGGAATCATGGCCTTTGGAAGTAAAAGGAAATTTAGAAGTGGCCCCATCCTTTTGCTTCCTTTTCAGAGGTGCTGAGTCCAGAGTGGCAGCTGACTCAAAGTCACCCAACAGAATGACAACTCCGGTTTCTTAACTTCCTGGCATGTGATGTCATATTCCCGTCCCATGGCCTCTGAGATTTTTCTGAGGCACTTTCTCCTCTTTGGAATCTGAGCAGGAAAACACTTTGAAATGAGGATTCTGAAACGCACAAGGATCTTAGTGGGACTTGCTACAATCACTTTTGAGAGTTTAATGACGTACAATTTTTTACTTTTCCTGGAACTCTCACCACTACTGGTGGGAGGGTGAATTAAATTGGTACAACCACTGTGCAAAACTTATTGGGACAAGTTTGGGAGTATCTCCCAAAGCTGAACATCCACCTACCTTATGACCAGAAATTCCTCTCCCACATATTGCTTCCACCAGAAATGAGCACTTAGGTCCACCAAATGACTTACACAAGACTGTTCATAGCAGCCTTCTTCATGATAGCCAAAAACTAGAATTTGAGTGTCCATCCACAGTAGAATAGAGAAATATTTGTGGTCTATTCACACCATAAAATGCTACACAATAGTGAAAGACAATGACTCTCTACTACATGTCAAATCATGGACAAATCTCATGGATTTAAGTGAAATAAGCCAGAGATAAAAGAGAATATGCTGTATGATTCTATTTATGTCCAAGTTCAGAATAGGACAAACTAATTGATGGTGACAAAAAGTGGTTATGTAGGGGAGAGTGTTGACTTATAAGGCGCATAAGGAAGTCTTTGGGGCTGATAACATTCGATAGAGGTATTGGTTACATGGGTGTTTACATGCATAAAACTTCATCAGGCTGGGCACTTAAGATTTACATACTTTATTTACAAATTTACAAATTTTATGTGTAACATAAAATTTTACAAATATATTATGCTTCCCAAATTGGTGCAGTCTGAGTGAGGTCTGTAGTCTTCTCAATTGCATTGTGTCAATTAGTTTCCTGGTTTTGTGAATGTGCTGTAGTTACATGAGGTGTTACCACTGGAGAAGCTGGGGGGCAGGTATACAAAGCCTCACTGCACTATTTTTCAAATTTCATGTGAGTGTGGTTATCTCAAAATATCAAGTTAAAAAATTGTATGGTCTCTATTCTTCATTACAAAATCAGACAATTTAAAGCTATTACTTTTTCAATCATACTTGTCTCTACCTTCAACCAAATTTATGGATCAAATAAATTTATTCTCCCTTCTAAGTCGTTTTAGGCCCTCCTTTTCTTCCTTCTCTCCCCTCCCTCCCTTCTTTTCTTCCTTCTCTCCTTCCTTCCTCTCTTCCTTTCCTTTCTCTATTGAATATCAGTAAATTTGACCTGCTTCTCTTTTCCGCCCCATTCTGGGTCACCCCACTTAAGTGAATGCCTGCTGTGACAGGGCATCTCCACTTGATCTTGAATCCAAGATCTGAGAAACCTAGAATTTTTCATTTCACTCCCCTCCCTGCACCGACCCCTGGTGACCTAAGGCCAGGCCTCTAATTTGTAAATCTGGGCTTACCTGTTTGGAAAATGGGTTGAATAATAGATGCCTCGCTCACCAGGGTGTTGAACTTTAATTACTGTTTGCAACATTGCTTGAGATGTCGAGATGAAAGGCAGTTTTAAAAGTACATGTTATTGGCATTAGTAATAAAGCTGAGGAATTTGTTTATGAGTTTGTGAGGTTGTCAGAAATGGGAAAAGGTAGGGGGGAAGGTTGATTTTATGTGGAAAACCTTGCCCAAAAAACAGCCACAGATCCTAGTTGGTATAAATAGCAAGAACATGTTGTACCTCAAACAACTTTGCAAATTTCACATTCTTCCATGCCCCTGAAAAGATAGAACCCACACTTCCAAATCTGAAAACAAGGAGTTACCTGGGGTTATTAGGCAGGAAATTCTGGAGCCAATTTTGCGCTGAGATCATTCTCAGTTCTTGCAATTTACAAGAAAAATGTGGTTAAAGGACAGGGTTCTTCATTTTTACCATCAATACTTTTCTTTTTCTTTCTGCATTTGATCATATTTCTACCAATAGAGCAGCTAATAAGGACTTTTAGAAAGCTACCTTTTTTTTTTTTTTGTGAGTACTTAATAAGAAGGGTTTAGGAAAGAATAAAAGGCTAAAACTTAGCCCATGCCCTTACTTCAAGCCAGAAGATAAATAGGAGTGAGTAGCCTATATTTAGAATTTATTTCATGGTGCCCTGTTATTAATAATAACTGCCCCCTTTGGAGTGTCCACAGCCCTTTGAAATGCATTACTTCATTCGAACCACTGACAGTTCTGGGATTACGAGCTCTGGTTTGAGAATGAGGAACCTATGACAGAAGTGACTTTCCTAAGGCCACACAGCCTACAGGTGATAGTGTTGGGACTTAAACTTAGTCTTGGGAATTGGAATGGTCAGAGCAACGATTTTCAACCAGTGTGCTGCAAGAATTTTTAAAACATTCACTAACTGAGTCGGGGCACTGACCTCTTTTCCCCTAGACTGTCATATAAAAAAATGACAGCAATAGCTGACTGGTATGAATGAATCAAAATTATACCTATTTTTGTCAGGTTAGCAAAAAATATATTTTTAAAATATTTCATTTATTTAATTTTAGACAGAGGGGAAGGGAGGAAGAAAAGGAGGGAGAGAAATCAGTTTGTGGTTGCCTCCCGTGCACCCCCTACTGGGGACCGGGCCCACAACCCAGGCATGTGCCTTAGACTGGGAATCGAACCTGAGACCCTTTGATTCGCAGGCTGGTGCTCAATCCACTGAGCCACACCAGCTGGGGTGATATATATATTTTTTGGTATGCTGCAGCATTTTAGTAATTAGTGTATGTGTGCCATGAGATGAAAAGGGTTGAAAATCTCTGGTCTAGAGGAATTTTCTGGAAGGTTCTAGCATTCTTTCCACTGTACTGCCACTCCTGGTAGCTACTCAAGGAGAGACCTGGCCTTTGGACCCAGGTTCAAGGCCAGCCTGCACCAAAGACCAATGCCACATAGTGTCTAATCAGAGGGAGGACTAGGGTAGATGTTAAAGGTGTGTCTTGGACTCAG